ACGAGTCGCGCAGAGCACCGGCGAGAGCAAACGCGCCGGCGTCGATGTCGGCCATCGCCTCCTCCGCCTCCGCCTCCGCCTCCGCCTCCGCCGCTGCCTCCGCCTCCGCCCCCGCCTCCCCCTCCGCCTCCGCCCCCGCCTCCGCCTACTTGGCTCCGTGCACCCGCCCGCCCCCGCCACAGGCAAGCTCATTCACAACCGTGTACTTGTGTCTGGTGTTGTGGCCCTGCTGCGGGACGTTGACAGCAGCATCGCCAAACTCGTCGTGGGTCTTCTTGTTCCGAGTCTTCTTGCCCGCCGCCGCGGGGCCTGGCAAGCCACGTCGAGGGGGAGACCGACCCAGAGACGGCGCTGCACCGAAAGACGCATCGCCCAGGTCTCCATTCGCATGTCATCCCGCATGGGGATGCATGGCGTTGAGGAAGGCGCCGGCGCCATCCTGGCTCATATCACCGCCACGAAGCGGACTGCCTCCCGCCAAGCCTCATGCTTCGCCCGCTCCCTGCCCTTGGCATGCGCCTTGCCCCCGTCTTCCTCCTCCCGCGGCATGGGAGAGCCGACTTTGCGGAGCCCTCATCCCTTAGCTCGAGGGCGAGGGCGCGCGAAAGCCCGATAAAGGGGAAGTAGGAGAAAGCAGTTGGGCGAGTCATATTTAGCGAATCAGCAGGAAGAAAACCAGAGTCCTGGACCTACCCCCCCTCCCCCCCGCGGAAAAGGGTTTTCTTTCATAAGGTGAGCCTGTGTGTGTGCCAGTCCGCGCCAGTCTGCGCCCTTGTCGTGCCAGTGTGCTGTGCGAGAGGCTTGTATCTTAAGAATTCTTTCATAAAAAAGAAACCCGCCAACAATGGCCGACGGAGTGCGGTTGACCGCTCCGACGATCCTGCTGACCGAACCGTCCGCGCCCCGGACGTCGTCGTCGGCCCACCTGCCGCGAGGCGCCCTCCTCGCCGTTGGCTCCTCTGGCGGTCGCCGGCTGGTGTGCGCGCTCGGCGATGGGCTGCAGCATCTGCCGCCGGCCCTCGGCGCCGAGCTGCCCGAGCTGCTGCTTCCCAAGCCGGCGCTGTGCGGCCGTCCGCTCGACCTGTCGGTCGGAGCCCACCGCCTCGTCGGCCACCCGCTCATGCTGCGTGTCGGGCAGCCGGCCGCCTCAGCAGACGTCGGCGGCGAGGGCGGCTCCGCGGCCGCCAACGGCGGTGGCGGCGGCGAAGAGGGCGGCAGCGGCGGCGGCGGCAGGGCCGACGGCGTCGGCGGCGGGGCCAGCACCGAGATTCGCGCGCTGAGCGTCGCCTTTGTGATCGACGCAGAGGCGCCGCATGACCGCCGGCTTCAAGATTGATTATTATTAGTATTGTATTCTAGTATAGTTGCATTGTGTTCTATGTACTTAGGCGCCGTACGACCGCCGGCTTCAGTACCGGCGGACGGTGGCGGCGTGCGCGGTGCTGGCCGCGGAGCTCGGCGAGTCGCTCGCGGAGCATGAGGCGCACCTCGGGAGTATAATAAAGACAAGAATGTCACCCATTTGACATGAACTGTAATCTACTGTCTACAGGCGCGCCTCGGACTGCTCTCGCGGCCGCCGCCGAACGGCAGCGCGGCGGGCGCTCCGAGCGGACCAGCGGCGTGCGAGCCGCCATCTCGGGCCGATCTCGGGCCATCTCGGGCAATCTCGGGCCATCTCGGGCCATCTCGGGCCGATCTCGGGCAATCTCGGGCCATCTCGGGCCATCTCGGGCGATCTCGGACCACCTCGGTCCATCTCTCACGGCGTGGTTGTCACAGGCGTGCGAGCCGCCCTTCTCTTCCGAGCCGCCCGAGGCCGACCAGCCGGAGTGGCTGAGGCGCGCCGTCGCCGCGCCGCACCTGCTCCCTGCGCTGCGCGAGTCGCTGCTGAGTGTGGCCGCCTGCCACGCCGGGTCGTTGGGCGGAGGAGGAGGAGGGGGAGGAAGGGGAGGAGGGGGAGGAGGGGGAGGAGGGGGAGGAGGGGGAGGAGGAGGGGGAGGAGGCGGGAGGGGCGGGTACGTCGCTCGCTTGCCGCTGCCGCGAGGCATGTCTCTCGAGGTGCAGCTCCCTCCTCCGACTCGGCCCGCGCCGCCGCCGCCGCCGGTCGCGAGGTCGGAAGGTGGCGCCGGAGATGTAGCCGGGAGGCAGCAGAGATGCAGCCGAGATGTAGCCGAGATGTAGCCGAGGTTTAGCCGAGGTGTAGCAGAGCCATAGCCAGGAGAGAGAGAGACAGCCTCCCCCTGGAAGGTGGCGCCGAGATGTCTCCGGGAGGCAGCCGATGGTGACGGCCACACACCGGAGCGACACACACAGACACCTCACACAAGACACACAAGACAAGGCACCTCTTTCAGCCGACACTGTCGACACCGCCCCGAGCGGCGCCGCTGCCAGGCGCGCTGCCGCCGCCGCCGCCGCTTCGGCCGTACCTCGGCCTGCTTCCTCTTCGCGAGGCCGCCTTGTCGCCTCGCTGCCTCTGAGCAGCACCACTCCGGTACTAGTGCACCCCACGCCCCCTCCGTCTCTACCTCAGGATACGCTCGCCTCGCTGCCGCCGGACAGCTCGCCGCTGTTGGCGCGAGAGTGCCCGAGATTACCCGAGATTACCCGAGATTACCCGAGATTACCCGAGATTACCCGAGATTACCCGAGATTGCTCGTCGCTGCTGGCGCGCCTCGACCATCCGGGCTCCTCCCGGACCCTTCTCGGCCCCCTTCCCAGCACCCTTCTCGGCCCCCTTCCCAGCACCCTTCCCAGCACCCTTCTCGGCCCCCTTCTCGGCCCCCTTCCCGGACCCTTCCCGGACCCCTTCCCAGCACCCTTCCCGGACCCTTCCCGGAACCTTCCCAGCACCCTTCCCGGACCCTTCTCGGCCCCTTCCCGGACCCCTTCCCGGACCCTTCCCAGCACCCTTCTCCCCCCCGGCAGGTCCGCCTCGTGCGCGAGCTGTCCGCGGCTCGCTCCTTCTCGGAGCTGCACCTCGAGACCGGCCTCCCTCTCGACACTCTCTACCTCCTCGCCGGCACCCCTCGCCAAAGGGGGGAGGGGAGGGGGGGACGCCACGTCCCAGGACACCGTCCAGTGCACGTCCTGTCCACGTCCCTCCCGCAGGCCACCTCGCCGAGTGGGGCTAATCTCGGCTCATCTCGGCTCATCTCGGCTCATCTCGGGTCATCTCCCGCAGGCCACCTCGCCGAGTGGGGCCACGCGCGCGTCGCTCTCCCGCTGACGGAGGAGTCGCTCTTCGCTCTGCGGCCCGACGCTAGTGATGTGTAAATTAGCCCACTAAGTAAGGGTGGATGGGTCGGCAGGAGTCGCTCTTCGCTCTGCGGCCCGACGCGCCGACGCACGCCGACTCGGAGGTCCGACGCCGCCCCCCCGGAATGAGTGACCCTCGGGGGGGGCCCCAGCTTAACTCGTCCCTCGGAGGTCGCCCCCGAGTCGCGTTCCCCTTGCTCCAGTTCCTCCGCTCCTCAGCTCGCTTTTCAGTCGCTGGGATTGGGGGGGGACCTCACTGAGTCAACTTTCCATGGGCCCCCCCCCCCCCCCCTCCCTCCCCCCGCGCCAGGTTGCTGCCGAGTACGCGGCGGCCTTTGGCGCGCGGCCGGCCTTGCCGCTCCTCTCCGCCCTCGCCCTCTTCTCCGAGCCTCGCCGCTTCGGCGACTTCTCCCCGCCCTCTCCCGCCGCTCAGCGCAGAAGGCCTGAAAAAGAAACCTCGAGGCCACCGCTGTTTGTAGGCGACCTCTCCCGCTCGGCTCGCGTGCCCGCGCGGCGGCTGGTGCAGGCGGACGCATTGTGATTCATTCTATTCATCATACTACTCAAATCTGAGGACACGTCAACTCGGCACGTTGCCAAGCCGACACGTCAAGTCTGACGACAAGCATGCGGCTGGCCGAACCACAGGCGACCGTTTTCCTCTGGCAGCGGCGCGTGATCCACCAGCTGCAGACGTGCCTCCTCGCCGTCGCCGAGGCCGCCTCCTCCTCCTCCTCCGGTCGACCCCCCGTGTCTCTCTCGCTGTGCGTAGCCACTCCACAACCGGCCTGTGTTAGGTCGCCCGTCCGGCCGTCGAGCCGGAGCGGCTGGTCGCATGGCAGCTGATGCAGCAGCTGCGGCCGATGCTGCACGGCGCGACTCGGCTCGATCTCGGCTCGATCTCGGCTTGATCTCGGCTCGATCTCGGCTCGATCTCGGGTTGATCTCGGCTCGATCTCGGCTCGATCTCGGCGCGCGACCCGTCCGCACAGCCGGAGAGGCGCAGAGGAGATGAGGCCAGCTCCCGACCGGCCAGATCTGACAGGGTTGCACCCCCCTTCCCCCCCCCCCCCCTCCCCCCCTCCTCCCTCCCGCCCCTCCGCCCCCGCCAGGCGAGCATTCGCTCGAGGAGCTGTCGTGGCACGAGGGCGTCCCTCGCCGCGCGCTGCTGCAGATGGTGGCCGCCTTCCCGGACGTGCTACTGCCCGTGCTCATGCCCGCCGTCGGGGAGGACTTCGAGGAGGCACAGGACTGTGGCTGAGCTCGCAGCTCGCAGGTGGGGAGTCGAGAGCAAAAGTGTATCCATGTCTTACCCATCCATGTCTTACCCCGCCGCGGCCAGCAACTCCTGGAAGGGGTCTCGCCGGGCGCATCTCGGCGGAAAGAAAAGGCATGTAGCATGTAGCCCGTGAGCAGTGTTGAAAAACGAATTGCATCCCATGAGCGTACGGCTGCCGAGACTAACTAGACCCTTTGCCTGCCCCTCGCGAACTGCAAGCGCACGGCTCCTAGACTGAAACTAGCCTTTTGCCTGCCCCTGGCCACACGGAGCAGGGGGAGCTGCAAGCGCGCGCCCGCCGCGCCCGCACGGCTCCCTCTAGACTAGCCCTTGCCCCTGGCCAAGGCTCTCCGCCAGGCCGTGCGCGCTCCTCTGGTGCACACGAGGATCAGCCAATGATGCAGGCTCCGATCTTAGGCATCACTTTGCTGGCGCGCCTCTTCGGCTTGCCTCCGCCAGGCGCCGCGTCAGGCGACGGGGTGCTCGTGCTACCTGCGGAGGGGGTGTGCGACTCCCGAACGCGGGCAACCTCTTCGTCGAGTGACTCAGCCTCGGGCACGCTCGTCAGCGAGCGCTCCGAAGAAGCGCTCAGGTACTTGAGGGTCCCCTGCTTAAAGACGTGCTTGGCGATGGACATCTTCTCGGCCGACGATGGCCGAAGGGTGCCAGGCGCGGGCACAGCCGCGCTCGAATGTCTCGAATGTCCCGAGTGTGACGCCCACGACGGCTCACCCTCTGGCGTCTGGATTTTCGACGCCGCCTGGATGACGGCGGCCTGCTGCGCCTGGTACTCTGGCACGGCGGGGGACTGGATGGTGAAGAAGAATGAGGGGATGCGCTCGGGCTCGTTGCGCTCCACCGCCGTCTTGAGGAGGTGCATGAGCCCCTCTGCCGAGGTGGGGTTGGTCGCGTGCAGCACGTTGTGCACGTTGATGAGTCGGATGAGCGAGTCCACGTCGGCCTGGTGCGGATGAGCGCTCAGCGGGTCGGTGAAGAAAATAACCGCGCCGATGTCTTCGAGGCACATTAGCGCCGCAATTTGCGCGTCCCCGCCCAGCGGCCCTGAGGAGCACACGGCGCCATAGACGACCTCGTCGTCCTCGCCAAAGACCGTGCGCAGCATCGCCATCGTCGACGCGGTGCCCGTCACGCGGAAACGCTTGAGCGTCTCGGCGTGCTCCTCCACAAACATCCTCATCGCCGGCTTCATGTGGTTGTGGGCGATTAGCGCGAGAGAGCGCATGTCGGACGGACCCAGCTTCGAGGTTCCAACTTCGGACTTTTCGGATCGATGGGACCTCTCGACCGAAAACAGGGATTTGAGCGACTGTTGGTTGTCGGCCCCAAATATGAGCTTCGCGCGGCGCGGGTGCCTCGATGCCTCAGCCTCGATCCGGTCGAAGGCATCGTTGGTGAAGGCGAGGACGGAACGAGTCGAGTCCGAGACTCGTTTGATTGACGACTGAAGGATGTTCGGCGTTGTTGCCTCTCTGCTTGTGGGCGGCGAATGGACCTTTGGCGCGGCGTTTGGCGCGGTGATTAGCGGCGACGCGGGCCTAGGCTGAGTTGCCCTCTGTTCTTTCGCGCACATGCTGAGTTGCCCTCGGTTCTTTCGCGCATAAAACGTATACAGCTAACGCGATGCGGCCTCTGTCTAGCCTCCTCTGCTTCTTTGCAGCAGCCATGGCGGGACCGCATCGAGTAAAACTATTACTGCTCCCGGGTACCGGGTGGTTTCAAATTCGTCACGAAACCGTCACGCTTTCGTCACGAGTCCGTGCGCGGTGGGACCGACACGCAGAAAGAAAGAAAGAAAACGGAGGGGGGGGATGGATGGGAGGACGGCAGAGGTCGGACCGAACTCGGACTCTTCTACTTTTGAGCTGATGGTGTTCGTGGGATATCATATGGATATCGACGGTCGACGGGCAGTTTGTTGGTCCTCTCGCCCACATCAAGTGTCTCTCCGGCACCACGCTGCTACATGCTACGATTCGGGGACGCTCGTCCGCTCCCCCTCCAGCACTAGCCTGCTCGCAAGCCACTCCATGCCGGCAGCCCCTTCCCTCGTGAAGTGGGAATGCAGGCGTCGCCGCAGACTGTTAGACACGGCCTGCCCCTGGCTAACTAAGAGTCTGGATGGCAGGCGGCCGTGCCGCGTGCAAGACCGTGCCTGAGCCCCAGCTCCCTGCGGCGCGTGCGCGTGCGTTGGGATTCTCGTAAAGCGCGTCTCCCCAAAAGATGCCGATCATCGAGTGCAGTACAAAGCCTTGCCGGCGGAGTAGGTTATGGATCTCGGTCATCTCAGCCACGCTCTTGCGAGCCACTTCCACCAGGAGCAGGCCCACGGACACTGCGGTCCAGTCGACCGAACGGAGCGGCAGCTCGTACCCTTCTCGTGCGGCCCACGTCCACGCTGAATAAATCGATATGTAGCGCGCTGACTGGACCGTCGGTGTGCTGCAGTTTCCACGCCTCTAGTATGCCTCGTCCTCCTCGCCGCCGCCGGTGTGCGGGCGCGCTTGCGGGCGGCGGACGCCATATGCACACGCGGCTGGCGCCGTCGTGCCGTGTACCGTAGGCCGATGGATTCGGGAAGGGCTGGGTATCGACCGTCAAAACATGGAAAGAAGTATAGAGAATTTCCGTGGGGGCAGTATGTATTCTTGTAAGATGTGCGTATTCTCGTCTCACTGGCTCCGAGTAGAAAAAGAAAGAAAACATGTTAGCTCCGAGTAGAGGGGGCGTTCCGCCGCTACGGTCTCAGCCCTACCTGGCCATTCTAGATTATAGAATGGCATCCTTCATGCTGCGGCTGCTGCTCCGCTGCCGCTGATTGTGGACACGATTCCCCCGATAATCCTGCCCGCCCGCTCCGCCCCGCCCGCCCGCCGCTCCCCGCTTGCTTGCCCGCCCGCCCGCCCGCCCGCCCGCCCGCCCGCCCGCCCGCCCGACCACCCATTCCCATCACCATCTCACATACCTTCATATAGGCGCTCGAGACCTCCTCTCGCGGCCTACTCGCTGCCTCTGGGGAGGAGGGGAAGACGTAGGGTTGAGCTGGACTCGCCTTTCCTGAGGCCCCTCCCCGAAAGGCAAGTTTTAGCCACATAAAACCGAGACCCCTCCCCACCACCCCAATCCCCCCACCCCCTTGCTCCCCTCCCCCCCTCGGGAGGGCCGAACTGAGGCGCCCGTGGGGACCCCGCACTTCCCTTCCCCCCTCGGAGGGCCGGACTGAGGCGTCGAGGGCCCCGCTCTTTCCTTCGCATAGCGGCCACTCTTCGGATCGCTGGTCGAGCGACCCGGGGGATGCCCCGCGCGCCTGACCCAGGCGCGAAAACGAATCTGCGAGGCGTGGCCGCTCACGCGGCCCGATGGGGAGGAACGGGGCGAGCCCCCTCCAACCCACCCGCGCTAGGTCTCGGGCGGCGAAGGGGTCACACCCGACGACCTCGGGAACTAGCCGGGGCAGTCGGAGAAGGGGCAACTCCGTGCACTGACGGTCGGCCGCCAGAAAACACGCCTGCGTGGATCGCGTCACACCAATCCTCGCTACCCAACGCGGCCAAAGGATATCCACCTCGAGAACCTCGAGACATCTAGAATGGCGTCTCGCGCGCGCTCACCCGGCCGCCTCGCAGCCCCAGCGGCCGGGGGGCGCTTGCCGGGGTTGGGGCTGGTCACACACAGGCGCCACTTTAACGCGGCGAGCCAGAGGAGTCACACAGGAGAGCCCCCAACATGCCACATTTTCAGCAGCAGACGGGCCGCGGTGAGGGCCCATTCTGTATCGAAGAATGGGGTCCGCCGCCGTCCCCCACGGCCTTCTCACGCCCCCAGCGGCGGCGTGCCGCTCGGCCAGACTGGTGGGGTTCGCGCACAAGCCCCAGTTCAACACAGAGAGCCCAACAGTCCGCAAATGAGAGTCCTCCCCCCGCCCCCAAACCAGAGCAGACGCCGGGGGGTGCGCCACGTATGGCAAAAGCAAACGCACGATGGCCGCCGGCGGCCGTTGAGCGCTGCCGCCGTTCGAGCCTTGGATGTCAGTCCGTCGCCGCCTGTGGCGAGGGCAGTGGAGGTGTGAGATTTGTGCTCGCAAGTGGTGGGCGGGCGAAAGGGTCGGGCGGCGAAAGAGAGCAGACAACAGACAGCGCGAAATGCGGACTACTCGTGTCACATCTACTCCTCGTGTCACCTAGTCATGGTCGTCGCTTCCCTGGCCGGTCTCCGAGTCCTGCTCCTCGCCCGAGTCCTCGTCCAAGTTCGAGTAGTCTTCCTCCTCTTCGTCCTCTTCGTCGATCTCGTCGAGCCGGCTCCTGGCCCGACGCCCGTGACGCTGCTGGGGCCGACTTGCTACGCGCGCTGCGACCCGGACCGCCACCTCTGCTGCCGCCTGTGCTACCCGTAGTCCTTGCCGGCGAGCGAGTGCCTTTTGCGGGGCTGTCGCCAGAGCGGGTGTCGCCACGGCCGTCTTCTGATCTGTTTTGTGGTCTGCGGACTGCGCGCTGCGCTGCGCTGCGCGTCTCGAGGCGCGCCGCAACACAGCCCGTGTAAATGGGGTAATGGATAAACCAAGCATCCCCGATGGCCGGGGGGATGTCCCATGGCCCCGGGGTGGCCGTGGGCACGCAGGGGGCGCCGCTACGGGCCGCTGCGGCGCCCATTCTACTTCGAAGAATGCCATTCTTGAAACTAGAATCTAGGTCTGAGACCGGCTAGGGGACACCCAAAGCGCAGAACTAACCCTCGGAGACCCGTGTTTACTTTAATTAAGGCCCTTGCCCTGCGAATGCGCGCCCCCCCCTAGCTAGGGGTCAGGGCTCTCTAGCCCGTAGCCCGATGCCGATCATCCGGCCCGCTGGATGCGCTTCTCAGCTCACCGGCCCTGGATGTGAGGTTGCCGACTGCACTCCAAGTGCTCCAAGAGAGACTGGCAGTGGGACTACTGACGTACGAACGTACGAACGTACCGAGAAATTTAAACGGTGTCGCAGGAGCGCGCTCCCTGCACACGGCGCGCTGTGCTCGGTCACGCACTGCTATCACTGGGAGAGCTATCACTGGGAGAGAGAGAGATTTTTAGCAATTGGTGCCAAGCGGCGAGCGAGCAGGGCGTGGGGCGCTGCCCCTCACTCATGCCCGGACCTTCTTGAGCTCCACGTCGCGCGCCGCCACCGTCCCCTTCAGCTCCGCCACCTGGTCGAGCGCGTCGCCGAGCAGCCCCTTGGCCACGCCAAAGTCGCGCAGCTGCTCCACGCCGCCGCTCGCCCGCACCTCGGCGGCGTGGTCGGCCACGAAGCGGCGGCACTGCGCGAGGAGCCGCCCGTCACCCATCGTGTGCGCCGCCTCGAGCAGCGGCACAGCGGTCGCCGGCGCGACGCTCTCCTGCAGCGCCTGCGCGCAGAGCAGCTCGAGGCGCGGCACCTGGTACATCTGCGCCAGCTCCCGCAGGTCGAGCGCGCGCTGCGCCCTGCCCTCCTCCTCGCCGAGGTCGAACTGGTCGGTGAGGAGGTAGCGGACGAGGGCGGTGAAGCTGGCGAGGTCGGTGTGGGACACCGTGACCTCGGCGGCGTCGCGCTCCTTCATGCCGATGCCAAACATGGTCCGAAAGACCGGGGACCGGGCGCAGAGGTTGGCCTTGGTGACGTGCTCGATGCGCTCCTCGTCGTCGCCGACCAGGAAGGTGACCATGCCCTGCGGGAGGGAGGCGTCGCCCCACGTGTTCGCCATGTCGGCGGAGAAGGTGGAAGGCGGAACGACGATCGGGGCAAAGGAGGGAGGCGGAGGAGGCGCCGCCACGCAGACCTGGCGGAGGCCACCTCTCGAACTGACCAACAGCGTGCTGCCGTCGGGGCTGATGACGACTTCGAATGGGCAGTCGAACTCCGCCGCGTCGCCAACGCCATCGGCGATGCCCGTGGTGCTGCTGCCCGCGATCGTCGTCACTTCGCCCGTCGCCACCTCAACCCGCCGGATCTTGACGTTGCTGCAGTCCGCCACAAACAGCGCGCCGCCGTCTGGGCTGATGGCGATGCCACTTGGGTTGTTGAACTCCGCCGCATCGCCCACGCCATCAGCGCTGCCCCTGGTGCCGCTGCCCGCGACCGTCGTCACCTCGCCAGTCGACACCTCCACCCGCCGGATCTTCTGGTTGCCTTGGTCCACCACAAACAGCGCACCGCCGCCTGGGCTGAGGGCGAGGGCGCGTGGGCCGCAGAACTCCGCCGCGTCGCCCACGCCGTCCGCGTCGCGAGGCTCGCCGCTGCCCGCGATACTCGTCACCTCGCCCGTAGTCACCTCAACCCTCCGGATCTTGTGGTTGTCTTGGTCCACCACAAACAGCACGCCGCCGTCTGGGCTGATGGCGATGCCAGCTGGGCCGCAGACCTGTGCCGCGTCGCCCACGCCATCCGCGTCGCCCTCGTCGCCGCTTCCTGCAAGCGTGGTCACCTCGCCCGTCGCCACCTCCACCCGCCGGATCTTGTGGTTGCTGTAGTCCGCCACAAACGCCGCGCTCCTGTCCGGGCTGGCAGCAATGCTGTTGAAAACGTCACTTGCTGGCAAGGCTGCCACGCGGCGCACGCGCCCGGCCGCCGAGACGTGCAGCAGCGAGTCCTCGGTCGCGACGTACCAGGCGCCCGCGTGATCGCTCGCCACGCCAACCGGCCCGAGCCATAGAGGGCCGTCCTCGCCCTCGAGCGTGAGCGTGGTGACCTGGCCGACGACGCGCGCGCCAAAGAGGGGCGCCTCGAAGCCATCCGCGATCGGCGAGGGCTCCGCGTCCTCCTCGCCGCCGGCGGCGGTGCGGGCGCACTTGCGGGCGGCGGACGCCATACGTGTGTGTGTTCGCGCCGAACAACGCTGATGGATTCGGGACCAGGGCTTGTGGGGTAAGCTGGCGCGTAGGGCATCTGGTATTCGGAAAAGGTGCGTCGGGATTTCATAGTGCAGAGAAGAAATGCGTGCGAGCTCTCGACAGCTCGGTGACACCTCGACCCGCCGGATCTTGGTTGCTGCAGTCCGCCACAAACGCCGCGCTCCCGTCCGGGCTGGCAGCCGCAGTGTAGAGAAATTCACTTGCCGGCAAGGCTGCAACGCGGCGCGCACGCCCGGTCGCTGAGACGTGCAGCACCGAGTCCTTCGTCGCGATGTACCAGGCGCCCGCTTGGTCGCTCGCGACGCCAACCCGACCGAGCGATGCCAGAGCACTGCTCTGCCCCGCGGCTGCCTCGCGGCTGCTGCGTCTCGGCTGCTGCTCCTCGGCTGCGTCTCGGCTGCGTCTCGAGGCGGTGTCTCAGCAGCCGCTCTCGAGGCAGTCTCTCGGCTAGCAGCGCGCCGAGCGACCACACGTCCACCGTCTGGTTGTGCGCCTCGCGTTCTCCACGAGTGCGGGTGGGCAGGCCCTAAAACGGCGGGAGGGGTAGGGGTGCCGCTGTAGGGGTGTGGAGGGGTCGGGAGGGCGGGAGTGCGGACCGTGACCTAAAGCCCTCCACCGATAGAGGTGTCAGGCGGCAGGGCCCAGGAGGGGTGGGGGCTGGGAGGGCTGGCCAAAAGCGAGGCGTAGGAGGGCTCATGAGGGCTTGGGAGAGGTGGAGAGCTCGGAGGGGTCGGAGGGCTCGGAGGGCAGAGAGGCACGAGGGTGGCGCTGGTGGGCTCGGGAGGGCTCGGGAGGGCTCACAAGTGGGATGGAGTGCCCGGAGGGCTCGGAGGGGCGAGCCGCCGAGCCGGGCTCGGGGGGCTCGGAGGGCTCGGAGGGCTCGGAGGGCTCGGAGGGCTCGGAGGGCTCGGAGGGCTCGGAGGGATGGAGGGCTCCACAGTAGGGCTCGGAGGGGTCTGGAGGGCTCGGAAGCTCGAGCCCTCCGAGCCCTCCGAGCCCTTCAAGCCCTCGGATGGAGTGGCTCGAAGACGGACCTCTCTCGCTCCGGGAGGGTGGAGGGGTGGAGGGTGGAAGGGTGGAGGGGTGGTTGAGCCCTCTAGCTCTATCGATATAGCCCTACCCCTCCCGCCGTTTTAGGGCCTCCCCACCCGCTATGTTCTCCACCATCCCGGGCGGCAGGTAGTCGAGCGTGCCGCACCTGCGCCGGGAGATCGGGGGAGATTGCGGGCTCGAGCCACCTCGGGCCACGCCTCGGGCGGCGAGGGCGAGGGGGGCAGCGAGGGCGAAGGCGGCAGCGAGGGCGAGGGGGGCGGCGAGGGTCGGGGCGGCCATCTGGTGGCGCGCTGCCGGCCGTAGGATATTCGGTTTGGGGGCGAGTTCGGCGCATGACCGACGACGGGCCATCTTTGTGTATGCGGGGAGTCCAGCCGATCATGTCGGTGGTCAGCGCGGAGTCCTCCAACGCGGACGATGAGTCTCTCCTCGAGGGCACCAGCAGCGCCGCGGGCGCCCCGCTCTGGGCGTTTGTGCTCGGTGGCTTCCTTCCGGTGCCGGTCGTCTATGTCACCTTCGTGCGGCTCCAGTCGGCGTGGGGCGCGGCGCTGGCGCTCGAGGCCGCCTTCGTCCTCGTCCCGGCCGCCATCTGCGCCGTGTGGCCCGAGACCCGGAAGCGTGTCGCCGCCGCGGCAAGGCAGGCGATGGGCGGGAGCGGCGGGCAGCAGCTGAGCCTGAGAGCGCAGCTGCTCGCCGCGGTGGCGCTCGGCGGCGCCACCCTCGTCGGCGCCGCCCTCGCCATCCTCCTCTTTGAGCACTTCTTCGCCTCCGAGTGGAGCCACGCCACTCGCCAGGTGCGCGCACACCCGCCGCTGCCGCAGCCGCAGCCGCAGCCGCCGCCGCCGCCGCCGCTGTCCACCTCTCTCTCCACACTTCTATCTCCACACCTCCGTCCGTGCGCAGGTGCGGCGCGAGGCGCTCATCTACGGCTTCTCGCGCAGCGACGAGCAGGGCGTCGCTCTCTTCGGCGCGTGGTTCTGCGCGGTAGCCACCCGCCGCTTGAGCGCAGCTCCTCCGGCCACAAGTAGAGTCATTACGTGTGAGTGAGCTCACTTTACAGGTCAACCCGCTGCTCGAGGAGCTCTTCTGGCGCATCTTCCTCGCCCACGGCTTCGACCACCGCGCCGCCTCCCACTTCCTCCCCGCCAACGCCGCGCCGCGCGCCATCCAAAAGTGGACGCGCGGCACGCGCGGCACCGCCGCCCTCAAAGTCGCCGCGTCGGCCTGATCACTCTCGACTGTGTTTATCTATTCTGTGTCGTAGGCACCGCCGCCCTCTGGGTCGCCACGTCGGCCTTCTACGCGTCGTACCTCCCCAAGCTGGCGGTGTCCTGCCGCCGCCAGCAGCGCCTCGTCACGCCGCCAGCTGTGAACAGGTACCACGCCAACGTGGTCTTCGTCTTCCTGCCGCTGCCCGCCGCCGCCGCCGCCGTCGCAGGCCTGGTCGGGTACGGCGTGCTACTGCAGCTGCTCGTGTCGCGGGTGGGGCTCGTCGGTGCCGTCGGCGCGCATGTCGGTGCAACCGCCCCAGATGCGGAGTCCTGTCCCCTGCACTCCAGCCAGCCCTCGAGACGCGACGTGGCTTGCTGGCCCGTCGGCGCGCATCACGGTGGCGGCCTTTGGCGCCTCCTCTCGAGGGCTGCTTGAAGCCAGAGCGCTCGGGAGGACACACGTGGCCTGCTGGCTCCGATTGCTCTCACTGTATTCAGAAGGCGTCGTGCCTTCACACACACCCTCACGCTTGTGCGCGTCCATGGCGCAGGCGCCGACGCCGCCGTGATCCTCGGCCTGACTGACGCCATCTGGGAGTACCTGCGGCGCTGACTGGCGTCCGAGTCCGACACACCTCACCGGCGCGGCGGCGTTCGCTGGTGCGCCACGCCCGTGGTGTCGCATCGCGTGTCCTCTTAGTCGCACGTCACACCGCATCGATCAGACGACTCCGAATGCTTTAGTTCTCCTCTCAGCCCTGCACACAACGGCCCAGAAGCCTCATCACCCGGCATCGCACCACACCATATAAGTGTGTGTCATTTTAGCATCGGTTGGAATTAGCCGGTTAGGTACTCTAGCGGACATGAGTGAAACTCGTCAAAGCCGTCCCCCCAAGGAAACTGTGAAGCTCCCAACGGCCAGACACCTCGGCGCACCCAGCCCCCGCACTGCGCACAGTCCACAGAAAATATGACTGTGCCACAGTCACCCCCCCCCCCCCCCCACACGCAGACCCGGGCGGGGATGTCGGGTGAGTGTCGTGTCGCGGCCGGCGCGCGCGCGCGGGCGCTGGGGCCTGCTGGGCGGTGTGACCGATGTCGGGGACAGAGGGCTTTGTCAAAACCCGAAGGCGCCCCGTTGCCAGTTTGTGTGTGTGTGGACAGGTTTATCTCACCTTGTACTTCTACCCCTACCGTATGTGGAGCGCGCACGATGATCGATGTGATACAAGGGGAAGCCTCGCGGTCCGCACGGGATATGTGTCCAGACACCAATAAAAGAGAAGGTTTCCTCGCGGCGCGGCGCCGCCACAGCATGTGACTGTTCGAAGGACTGTTCGATGCGACCCCACTCGAGGTCTCGTCAGACGAGGGCGCGCGCACTGGTGCCGCCGTTTCCGTTGCCGCCCCCGGCCCCGTTGCCGCCGCCGCCATTGCTGCCACGCGCCTCCACCGCCTGCTCTGCCGGCGCCCTCTGCCTCACGCCGCCCTTGTAGGTGGCGACGTCCTCGCCCTCAAAGTGGTTCTTGCCGTCGACGAAGTGGCGAAGCACGCCCCCGAGCACCTACGGTAGGGCAACGGGAGGTGATGCGCGTCTCCGTACAGGACCTGATCTCGACTGGTCTCGGGGCGGCCGCGCCTCCTTGCCCCACATAATCTGCAACAGCATGAAGCCAAGCGAGGTGATGATGGTACAGCATGGTGCGAGGGGCGGCACGCCGGCTCGCAGCTCCCCCACCTACGGGCGAAGGGTAGCCCCTCGACGGCTTGCATCGAGCCACTCAGTTGGAGATGAAGCGAGCGGGAGATGCTAGCGATGTGAGGCGGTGCAGCGAGCGAGACGGTGTACACGAGTGAGCTAGAAGAGAGATCGGACGGCGCCATGTCTGGCAGCAAGAAGAAGAGGGTCACCACCGGGAAGTAGATCCCGCGGATGATGAGGAAGGAGGCGACGAAGAGGTAGGTCGTCGCCTAAGGAGCGAGGAATAGGTGAAGCAAGAGAGGAGGAAGGTCGTCGCTCTCTCCCGAGAGGCGTCGGTGTTGTGTGTACGCGCGTCTTACCAGGGCGCGTAGAGCTGTGGGGCACTCCTCCAAAGCACCGAGCGTTAGCGCCTGGTCGAGCACGCCTCCCCCGCCCCTAGCCATCGCACCCCTCTCTCTGCGTCACGTACTCATACGTCCGGGGGTCCCCCGAGCGTTGGACGTTTGGTAAAACTTTGGGTCGCATCGGTTGCTGCTGTTGACCAGAGGGCATAGAATCGCCGTTTCCTGCAAATAGTGGTCGACAAACGTCTGTGACACCCCGACGTGATGTGGGGCTCGGTGCGACAGATAACGCGCCAGCGGGCTGTGCGCCCTCCACGAGTCCACCCTAGATTCGTTGCGGACGCGGAATGCCATAAGTGTGTGTGCAAGCCACATGCAACCCTTAGCCAGCGTGACCTCGCCGCGCCATATTGGATCGATGGTCGCACGCAAGGCCTGTGTGAGAGTCTCGTCAGCGCTCAAGCCGAATAGCTGGAAGGCGCATCGGACGTATGCGTCACTTTGGCAATTAACGTGCGCGTTGCCATGCTGGCCCAGGCGAGCCCATGAGATCACAACACCGTGCTTGACCTTCGAAGCGAGGTTGAACATAAACGTGGGCTCCATGTGGCGTGGAAGGTGCTCCGCGACCTCAATCGAGAGCTTCCAGTCGTACCACTGCTGATGCTGTCGCGGCAACCCCTCTGACAAGTCAGCAAACTGCACCAACCCACCAGTCGCCTCCTGCACATTTTCTGCCCCGTCCAAGCCTTGCCATCGAACGGATGGCGCATACGCCCTGAAGTATCGACCGTACTGACCCAAGCCACATCCGAGGTCCAGTACCGATTGGTTTGCAAAGAGCCCTGCGAGGGACGCCGCCAGTGTCTTGGGCAAGCAGTAGTTCATCAATCTCTTGTCTTGCTGCCGGTGGGGGCTCATGCAGAAGCCGCCTGTTGGCCCCGTGCCATGGCGTCTGCAGCTCGTCTGGCCTGCTACTTTTCTCCAGTGCAGGGCCTCTGCCTCAGCGGCCATCACGGCTGAATACAGCTGATGAGGATCAGATGAGTCGGTGTCCGGCACCGTGGGTGGGTGGTCCTGAGGATGTGGACCAGCTTCTCGCCACCAGCGCAGAACCGCAGATCGAGCGGATTCGAGGTCTGCTCTCAAGGACCCCACCTTCGCAGCGTCTACCGTGGCATGCGTTGCGCGATGCATGTCGAAGACCCCACCCGCCTCCATTGCCCGCCTTCTCGACTAGCAGTGGACCCGCGCGCACTCGCTTGCGCAGCTCGGCAGTGCAAAGTAACGCGTGCCCGTGAGCCGTGTGCAAGTTTGCCAGCAGCATGCGCTCGGGGGTTTACCAGCATAGTGTAGGTGAAGAACAGCCAGGCTCGGACTGGACACCAACGCGGTATGGGTGGACGCGAGACAGATGATGGCGACACGCACGAGCGACACACAGACACAAACAAGCTCACAAGACACACAGCCAGCTGGCTGCCACACACCCTGAGTTGGCGTACACATAACTCAGGGCCACATTCTTCCTGTCGCCCCCCCCAGCACTCCAAGGTGCCAAGAGAAACAAACAAGGGCACAACATCACAACAGACGACAGGAGTACCATGCGAGGCTAGAGCAGCTTGCTCCACCTCTAGCAATCTCGCCGGCCGGCGAGGCACGGACGAGACCGTGTGTGGGGTCTAGTGAGGTGTCTATGGACGCCCTCCTCACGGGCTAGCTGCCTACTGCTAGCCCTGTCTCGCACTCACAGGCAGTGACAATTCAATGGGTGAGTGTTTGCGAGCAGAGGCGCGTGGGCTAAATCTAGGCCGCACGTCGTGGCACTATGACGAAGTTAGACGTGCGGCCGCAGCGCGCCCGCCCAGGGCGCGGCGGTGCGCGCGTGTTAGCGAGAAAGTTGCGGGGAGAGCCATGCCCGACTTTCCGAAGGTGAGGCCTCTGCGACGAGTGCCAGCCGCGCTGCGGAGCCACACCCTTCGAGCCGCGTCCCGTCGGCACTGCCCCTGAGTGTGTCCCGCCTTGGCGGCATACACTCTCGACGAGGACAGTCCTGCCTACGGGAACGTGTCGCGCGCCGGCGACGGTTGCGGCGTGGTGGTTTCGAGTACGACGCGAAGATGGCACGACCACCGCCCTGCATTGCAGACCGGGCAAGGAGGGGCCTGCTCCCGTTCCGCGAGGAACAGGAGGTCAGTCTCCCCCCCTCCCCCGGCCTGAGCAGCCACGGTGGAAGGCAGCCCCTTGAGTCGAGGGCGGCGCGACCATTGCGCCGACTCAAAGACCAGCTAGCTGGCCCGTTCAGTACAGATGGTCTCGCCGCCCCGCTCCGCGCCGCCCGCCGCCGCGCCGCGCCCCCGCCCGACGAGTATTAATGCCCCCGACTAAATACCTCCCCCCAACGGAATTCTGGAATACAGGTAAGGTAAGGTAAGGTAAACTTCTCCACACACACGAGGTGGTGGGGCAAGGGGGGGCAACCCTCGCGTCTCCACGTCTGACGACAGGAGCCCCACGGCCTTAAATAAATAAATAAAAACGGACACCTCTCTACTGTGAGATGGGTAAAAAGGAACAGGCCCCCGCCCTTGCGATCTTTGTGCAGGGTTCTTTGTGGGTGTGGTCGGCGACTAGCCGGGGTCGTCCTCCCGGTGGGGGACTAGCACTAGCCGTCTTCCACTGGTCCCTCGGGTCCCTGCTGCTCCTAATCTCTTCGTACATCCTCCTGCTGATCTCCGCAAAGTCCTGCTCCCTCCCTCGTCTCGCCCTGCGCGTCTGCTCCGCCTCAGACACCGTCTTCTGCCCTGCGTCCCCACGGCCTTGCACTCTGGAATACAGACTATTAACAATTAATCATTAACACGCAAGTAATTATATACTACCCACTTCCACTATACTCCATCAGCACGAGTAATGAGCTCTTGACACATCGGACCGCGTAACGGCGTTATTAAGCCCGTTATAAAAATTGCGAAAAGAAAAAAGCCGGCAGAGATTCCTCACACACTTTCCGCTCTCTAGACTCCACCATAGACTCTCTCAGAACAGTGGAGGAGGCAACGGCCACAGCCGCGCGGTTCGTGGAACTTGTACCAGTCAGAACTGGAAGAGCTGTACGCTACTCAGAGTCAGTGTCAGTCCTCCCACCAGTGTCGGTCCTCCTCCCGACGCGCTCGGATACGGGATACCGCTCGATTTATGGGGTGGTCTACACTATCACCAATGCAGTCAGCTCCCACGCCAATCTTGCCGTGCGCCAGACTGGCCGCACTCTCAGACGGCTACGCCGCGCGGAGCATCACCGCCACGACCGCAAGCAAGATCGACACGGCCAGCACGGCCAGCAGCGCGTGCAGCCGCTGCGACGGCGGCGGCGGAGGCCACGCCCGCTCCCCCGCGCGCACCGCGTCGTTTGCGGCGGCAGCCTCGCCGTCGGCGCCTCGGGTTAGGAAGTGGAAGACCGCCTCCTCCGCCGCGTGCGTCGTGTCCGGGTGGCGCAACGTGCCTAACGAGTTGACCGCCATGGTCAGCCTGGCTGGAGCTTCGGCGTGCGCTCGGGGCGCGCAGCGAGCTTAATTTGAGTCGGGCTCCTCCATCACACGTGATTCGTGCGCCGCGCGGGGAGTGGAGTGGCGTGGGATGGAGTGGCGCAGCGTGCCGGCGGACAGTGCGACCAGCTCGTGCGGCGCCGCGTGGAGCGTGGCGCCGAGCGGCTCGCCGGAGGCGACAAAGTTGCGACCCACCGCCGCGAGAACCTCCGCCGGCGCCGCGCCTGTGCACATGCCGGGGAGGGGGGGGGGACGTCGCGGGCAGAACAATCTGGGCCGCGGATCTCGACTGTATCTCGGCCGTATCTCCGCCAGATCTCGGGTGTGTCGCTCCCCGAGATCACAACTCTGTCTCGGCCGCATCTCGGCTGACTCTCGGGAAATCTCGGGCAATCTCGGGCAATCTCGCGCCCTGCCACCGCCCCGCGGGCTCCTCAAACGCGTGCGGCGCCGCGGCGGCGAAGCGCGACAGCAGCGGGCGCATCATCGCCGCAGCAGGACCCGCCTCCGCCTCCGCCTGATCGACCGCTACTGCTGTGAACGGACGCGCCCTCGCAGCAGCTGCAGCCCTCCTCCTCCGCCTCCGTGCCTCGGTCGGGACTCGCTCCGACAGCAGCGCCGCGTGGTCGCCTGTTCACAGCTCGCCGCTGTGAAGAGACGCGGCTCACTAGTCTTGCGGCGAGAGGTTGGGTGTGGGGTGGCTTCTGGACCGGATCTCGGCTAGACGAAGCCTCGGCTAGATCTCGGCTGATCTCGGAAAGGCCTCGGCTAGATCTCGGCTAGATCTCGACTAGACCTCGGCTACATCTCGGCTAGATCTCGGCTAGATCTCGGCTGATCTCGGAAAGGCCTCGGCTAGATCTCGGCTAGATCTCGACTAGACCTCGACTACATCTCGGCTAGATCTCGGCTAGGTCTTCTTCGCCTGCCCAGCCCTTGGTCGGCAGCCACACCATGCCTGTTCACAGCTCGTGAATAGTGCAGCTGTGAATAGTGCAGTCCTCGGTCGGCAGCCACACCATGCCTGTTCACAGCTCGTGAAAAGTGCAGCTGTGAATAGTGCAGTCCTCGGTCGGCAGCCATACCATGCCTGTTCACAGCTCGTGAATAGTGCAGCTGTGAATAGTGCAGTCCTCGGTCGGCAGCCACACCATGCCTGTTCACAGCTCGTGAAAAGTGCAGCTGTGAATAGTGCAGTCCTCGGTCGGCAGCCACACCATGCCTGTTCACAGCTCGTGAATAGTGCAGCTGTGAATAGTGCAGTCCTCGGTCGGCAGCCACACCATGCCTGTTCACAGCTCGTGAAAAGTGCAGCTGTGAATAGTGCAGTCCTCGGTCGGCAGCCACACCATGCCTGTTCACAGCTCGTGAAAAGTGCAGCTGTGAATAGTGCAGTCCTCGGTCGGCAGCCACACCATGCCTGTTCACAGCTCGTGAAAAGTGCAGCTGTGAATAGTGCAGTCCTCGGTCGGCAGCCACACCATGCCTGTTCACAGCTCGTGAAAAGTGCAGCTGTGAATAGTGCAGTCCTCGGTCGGCAGCCACACCATGCCTGTTCACAGCTCGTGAATAGTGCAGCTGTGAATAGTGCAGTCCTCGGTCGGAAGCCACACCATGCCTGTTCACCGCTCGTGAATAGTGCAGCTGTGAATAGTGCAGTCCTCGGTCGGCAGCCACACCATGCCTGTTCACAGCTCGTGAAAAGTGCAGCTGTGAATAGTGCAGTCCTCGGTCGGAAGCCACACCATGCCTGTTCACCGCTCGTGAATAGTGCAGCTGTGAATAGTGCAGTCCTCGGTCGGCAGCCACACCATGCCTGTTCACAGCTCGTGAATAGTGCAGCTGTGAATAGTGCAGTCCTCGGTCGGCAGCCACACCATGCCTGTTCACAGCTCGTGAATAGTGCAGCTGTGAATAGTGCAGTCCTCGGTCGGCAGCCACACCATGCCTGTTCACAGCTCGTGAAAAGTGCAGCTGTGAATAGTGCAGTCCTCGGTCGGCAGCCACACCATGCCGTCGGTGAGGGCGAGGGCGGAGACTCGCCGTCGCACCTGTTCACAGCTGTCCCCTGTGAAGAGCGTCTCTTCACACCTGGAGGAGACACGCGCGCCGCCGCACCGACACCGCAGCCTTGAGCGCGGACATCATCAACGCAGCTTAGTGGAAAGGGTGGCATGGCCAGGCCTCGGGGAGGACTCAGTTGAGGTGGCATGGCCCGCCTTGAGGAGAGAGGCCGCGACTGGGCCGCCGTACGAGTGGGCGACCACCAGCACGCGCGCCGCCGCCGCCGGCTCCACCGTCGACCGCCTACCGACGCGCCAACCCTTCCGTCGGGGAGAGAATTGCTTCCGCCGGCTTGGAGGCTCGGAAAGCGAGCGCACCAGAGCTGCGCAAGGTGCGCGTGCGGGCAGCCGTCTCCTCCGTGAGGGTCGGCGATGAGCACGCCCCACCCGAGCCGCTGCGCGCGCCGCACGTACCCAAACATCGCGCCCGAGCGAGTCGAGTCGTTGATGCAGAGCGAGCGACCCCACACGCCGGCGTCGCCGCCGGGCGCAGATCCGCACACGAGGAGCAGCAGCGGCGCGCTCGAGCCCTTGAGGCCGGAGGAGGAGTACGCCGTCGCACCGCCCGCGCACGGCACGGCGTGCAGCCCGCAGTGCGCTACAAGCTGCTCGCGAATCCACGCCACCGCAGCGGCGCCGACGGCATCGTAGTTGGCCTGGCCCTTCCACTCGAAGCCGCCGCCGTCGGCGGAGCGGAGGACAAAGTCGTCCGGGTCGCCGGTCGGGACGGGCACGTAAGCGTATCCGAGGTCGGCGAGGGTGGGCGTGCCCATATACATGTGTGTTTAAAAAGAAAGAAAAAAGACAACGCAACGGAGGGATGGGAGGACGGTACGCCGCCACCACACAGGGATTTTAGGGGAGAAGTGTGGTGTTAGCCGTCGCCTACCCTCGGGCGTCTACCACTTCCTATCTCTCTCCGCAGTTTATCACCAATTCTTGCAGCGACCTTCATGCCACCTCGCATTCTTCTCACTCTCGTCGTTCTCTCTCCTGCTGTCTCTTCCCCTGACTCATCGCTCTCCTCGGCCTCGTTCTGAGACGCCGCTGTCGTCTGCCGATCTCTTGCTCTCGCTGCTTCTCTCGCCTTTCTGCGTATATGGGAGACGCCGGCGTCCACCGTACAGAATTTTCTTTTTTTTTTTGAGAGCGCCTTCGTTGTTAATAGTACAAACCCAATGGTCCTCCGCGAGCGGTCCTTCGTTGCAGTCGCACACACGCACACGCCACACCGCACCGCGCGCCCGCCCACCGCCCCGCCCAGGCGGGAAAGAGATGAGGGGATGGGACAGCAAAGGAGGAACCCCAAACACGTATGGGAGGGTTCAGTAATGCGCCACGCTGCCCGGCGTCTCTCACTTTCCGGGACAGCCCCGCCCTTGTGAGGCAGGAAAGTGACGGCTACCCCGTACGCCCTGGTGCTGCTACCCCGACGCCGACCGCCCATTCCCCCCTCCTCGTTCCCCCCTCGAATGCTCCGGACCCCGACAAGCCGCCCGACGTTGGGCCTCTGCCCCGCACGCTCCCGCCCCTCTGCCCCTCACACACACCCAGGCCCGACATGCACTCTGCCCCGCATGCCCCCGCCCCTTCTGCCCCTCGCTCGCGCCTCGGCCCGACACGCACATACAAGACAAACCCGGCGTCCTGCTCTCAAAAGAAAAAGAAAAAAGGGAATGAGGAGACCAGCGGGGGAGACTCCCCGCCTATGCAAGCCCCAGAGAGGGGCCGCCATCGCCGAAGCTGTGCCAAAGCATAACTCCAAAACCCGCAGCGGCCCAGGGGGCCTTGGGGGCAGCCTGCCGGACCGCCGCTGCACGGGGCTAGGCACCAGAAGATGAGTGGAATTGATGAATTGGGCCGTTGTCCGTGCCTCCCCTCTATACGTCAGAGTGGGACCTACGCCGCGCCGGGAAAGGGGCGCGCCCGGTCCTCGACGGAGCCGCGCGCCCCAAACGACCCAGGCGGCGAGTAGTCGTCCTCGAACCTTCGACATGTAGTTGCCCATAGTTAGCGCCCGCCCGCCCCCCCCCCTCCGTCGCTTCGCAAAAGAAAAAACAAAATAAAAACAAGCAAAAGAGAAAGCGAAGCCTTAAACGATTGCGTAAACGGCGTCACAAAGCCCGCCGGTTTTGATCGACAATCGTGAGATTGACCGCCGTCGACCAGAGAATGGCAGACGATGCGTCAGCTTGTGCGGCGCTCGCGCCGCGCAGGCTGGCCCATCGAGGGCACTCTCTGGCGCTGTCCGGGCCAAGCGCGGCGCCGCGCATGCTGCGTGCCACTCGCCGTGGCTTGCGGTGCAGCGCCACTGCAGCCTCGAAAACGTCGCGCACAGCACCAGCATGCTGCCCACCAGGCAGCAGAGTGCTGCACCGGCGTGCAGCGGACGCTGCGGCGCTGCGGCACCGCCTCCCCGCCCTGTCCACGGAGCAGGCTAGCGGCGGCACGGCCTTCCACCAGCTGCAGGAGGTGCGCACTTCCCGGTGGAAGCACAGGATGCTCCCTCCGCATACGCAGCTTTGCGCAGCGCAGCGTACGGGCCACGCCACGCAAAGCCGACCCTCAGTCTGCCCAAGAGGCTGTCTGCGGAAGGCCTGGCAGCGTGTACTCGCCTCCTCCGCGGCCATGCCCTCCGCCCGGGCGAGCGAGGAGCGGGGACACAACCATTTCTGGAATCGTGTGGGCCCCCGCCCCCGCTTTTTCATTTTCTTTTTGATACCAAAAGCTAGGCCCACAACGCCCTCTATGTTGGGTCAAGGGCGCCTACAAGAGATGCCTTTCGGGGCCCAGAGACAAAACTTCTGATGCCATGCGTGACCTAGTAGTGTCCCACGTTGGAACCAGGTGTGGTGTGGGCGCGAGAATAGCTCCGCCGTTCATGGAGGCAACCGATACGAGTCGACTGGTGTGCGTGTCGTCGTGGTTTCGTATCAAGAATACTCACTCACTCACACCCCATCCCCAGGGCCTCCAGGGCTCGCACCTCAACCTCTCACAGACCAGCGCACAGCGCCATACTCGAGTAGGACGTATTTTCGTCTCATAACAAGGCTGTGAGCGTCGGGCTGGTTGGTGGTTAGGTTCTCGAGGTGTGTGTGTGTGTGTGTGTGTGTGTGTGTGTGTGTGTGTGTGTGTGTGTGTGTGTGTGTGTGTGTGTGTGTGTGTGTGTGTGTGTGTGTGTGTGTGTGTGTGATTTAGCAATGTTGTTTGTGTGTGTGTGGCCAATGGCAGTTATCAGTTGTGCGGCCGTCGGCCGCGGATCGTCTCTGCCTCGGCGGCTGCTGCGCGAATGGAGGCCCAGTCAGCAGCTCGGGCGGGCAACTCCCAACTACATCAAGCCTGGGCTAAACCAGGCGTGATTGATGGAACCACGTCGGTGAAAAACGAAAAATTACCGCCCCGCGAGACCTCGATAGCGGAGTGCTCAAGGCGCTCTTTTTGATTGAATATAGTACCCCACGTTCCCCGGACGGTCTTTGCCTGACATCCACACGATGGCAGACCTGGTGCTTATCTTGCGCCACGATGATGGGAGCCTCGAGGCCGTCAACGTCTCTCAGATTCTCTCGCTTGAGACCGTGCCAGAGTCCTTCTCGTGCGCACCCGACTCACCGCACGTTGGTCCACGATCACCGTTGGTGTCGCCGGACTCGCGATCCATCGGGCCTGGATGAGCAATGCTATGCCCGCGGGGCTAGCCTGTTGCCTCTACTCCGCGTCGGCGCCCCGACGCGTGGGACGCATGTGGCTCCTTAGCTTTGCGCGGCGTTTGCGCGACCCAACGTGGCTGGGTTGTCTAGAGGCAGCACGAGGCGAGCGAGCTGAGCAACCGAGCTCATGGTCGATGCGGAGGATCCTGCCTCCTCCCTGTAGCTAGTTAGAACCACCTTGAGAGAGCGAGAGAGACCGCCACCGCCCGGCATGCTGCCCGGCCCTCTGTGAGTGCCCGCTGGCGCTGCGCGTGGCTGCTGTGAGCTTCCGCTCACTCTCGCTGTTTCGGACTGCGCCCGTGGACAGGGGGAGGTGCTGCAGTGCGCGACCGTGGCACGGCAGAGGCCAGGCCCACTGTGCGTGCACGGGCTGTGTCAATATTACAATAATAGAAAAGCTGACGTGATGGCTGATGCTGATGGTGTAAAGCAGCCGTAGTGCGTGTGAAGAGAACACATAAAACTGCGCGCAACAAAAGTACCTCTCCAGGACGCGCAGAGGCAGCTGCGACCCAGCCGATTGGACGGCGTCACACCGCGCCACCTGCTGTGTGACGCCGTCTACTCGGCGGGGTCGCAGCTGCCTCTGGAAGGCACCGAGAGGTACATTTTTCGCGCAATGGTCAAAATCAAGGTTTTGTAACGCGGGCTGTGCCACAGTGAAATGGCACTAGCCTGGGCCACAGACCCGCTCGGGCGCGAGAAACCGTGGGAAGCGTGAGCGTGAACTCGCGCGGCGGTGCGTCTCCAGCGGCGACGAGACGAGTTGTAGCTTGTACATACATACCGTACTAGCGAGGCGAGAGCGAGACAGAGACTCTAACGTCTAAGCCCCCCAAAATACCACACGGCTGCATCGTGCTCGCGATCGCCTCTCCTATCCTGCTCCTTCCGCCCCCAGCCTCCTCGGCGGCGTCGACGGCGGCGCAACCTCGGGCGGACGCTCCGCCTCGGGCGGCCTTGGCAGCTCGGCCGCCCCCGTCGCGCGCGCGATGGCGGCGGCGGCGTCGTGCCTCGCTCGGACGAGCGACTGCTCCAGCTCGGAGATGCGCCGCAGGTGGTCCGCGTGCTCGCCTTCGATCCGCGCCTGCACGAGGCCGCGCCGCCTGCGCTGCCACAGCGGGCCCCACCGCCCGAAGCCCGCAGCCGGCCGGCCGCTCCCGCTCTCGCCTCCGCCGCTCCCGCTCTCGCCGCCGCCACTCTCGCCGTCGCCGCTACCGCCGCCACTATCGCTGCCACCGCCGCCGCCGTTGCCGCCGCCGTGCGTCTGCATCTCGCGGCGCAGCACCTCCGAGGCGATGAAGGTGCAGAAGCGGTCCGCGTACTCTGCGGGCGGCAGCGCCGAGATGCCTGCTCTCACGCGTTGGGCGTGTGAAAGGGGTGCCGCTCTCCGGGGGGTGCCGGCGGGCGGCGGCGCGGAGGTGCCGTCGGCGTCTGCGGGTCGGAGGAGGGCGCGGTAGCCGAGGCTGAGGAGCAGCCGCTGCACCTTCCAGCGGAGCGAGTGGCGCTCGAGCACGTCGATTATGCCGAAAAAGTAGACGCACTGGCGGTCCGTCGACGCAACGCCGCCCTGCTCGAGCAGCGCCGCCAGCCGGCCGCCGCTGCCATCGACGCGGTGGATGCCGACGAGCAGCGAGTAGTCGAGCGCGCCTGTTGAGTACTTCACTAGTCTAGCACGGCTGATCGATTAAGCAGCGAATAGTCGAGCGCGCCTGTTCACAGCAAGCATGTGTGAAGAGGCGACGCTCGTGCCGGGGGGGGGGGGGGGGAGCAGGGCCGAGCGCGCCTTGCTCGGCGAGGAAGGCGGCGTCGGCGGCGACCATCTCCGCGAGCGCCGCCTTGTCGCCCTCAGAGACCTCGACGGACATCGAGATGTCGAGCCACTAATTAACTAATTAATTAATCACTAATTAAGCCATAGACCTCGACGGACATCGAGATGTCGAGCCACTCCCAGTCGCGTAGCGTGCCTGCTCACGGCCCGGCGGTGTGAAGAGACGCTGTTCACACCCGGCGAGCCACTCCCCAGTCGCGTAGGAGACGCCGTACGCGCACGCCGCGCCCGCCTCGCCCGCCTGCGCGTATTGGTTCCGGGCCGGTGATGCAACCGAGGTGTGCAGCCGTGACGGAGACTGAGAGGGGCAGCCTAGGTGCGGCCGAGGTGCGGCCGAGGTGCGGCCGAGGTGCAGCCGAGGGGCAGCCGAGGTGCAGCCGAGGTGCAGCCGAGGTGCAGCCGAGGGGCAGCCGAGGGGCAGCCGAGGTGCGGCCGAGGGGCAGCCGAGGGGCAGCCTAGGGGCAGCCGAGGGGCAGCCGAGGGGCAGCCGAGGGGCAGCCGAGGGGCAGCCGAGGGGCAGCCGAGGGGCAGCCGAGGGGCAGCCGAGGGGCAGCCGAGGTGCGGCCGAGGTGTGGCCGAGGGGCAGCCGAGGGGCAGCCTAGGGGCAGCCGAGGGGCAGCCGAGGGGCAGCCGAGGGGCAGCCGAGGGGCAGCCGAGGGGCAGCCGAGGGGCAGCCGAGGGGCAGCCGAGGGGCAGCCGAGGTGCGGCCGAGGGGCAGCCGAGGGGCAGCCGAGGTGCGGCCGAGGTGCGGCCGAGGTGCGGCCGAGGTGGTGCGTAGACCTGAGCATGGATCTGGTGCAGCGCGCGCGCGGTAAGTGCGCGCCGGTTGGCGGTGGCGCCCTTGAGATCGAAGGTGAGCCTGTTCACAGCTGCGGCTATGAACAGACGCTGCAGGTCGGCGGCGGCGCAGCCCGTGAGGCCAGAGGCGCGCCACGGCTGGACGGGCACAAAGTTGCGCATCACGACAAAGTACACCTGTTGGCCGAGAGGTGTGGGGAGGTGTGGGGAGGTGTGGGGAGGTGTGGGGAGGTGTGGGGAGGCGTGGGGAGGCGTGGGGAGGTGTGGGGAGGTGTGGGGAGGTGTGTGGGGAGGTGTGGGGAGATGTGGGGAGGTGTGGGGAGGTGTGGGGAGGTGTGGGGAGGTGTGGGGAGGTGTGGGGAGGTGTGGGGAGGTGCGGGGAGGTGTGGGGAGGTGTGGGGAGGTGTGGGGAGGTGTAGCGCCTTGCCCGAGTAGCGCCACGGCATACGTAGGGAGTGGCAGCCGAAGTAGGCGATCAGGGAGCGGCCTTCCGGCGGCGTGCGACTCGAATCAATGAATGAGTGAACCGAGAGTACGGAACTACTTACTCGCGTGTGGAGGCCTCCTCTCGACGCGACGTGCGACTCGTACGCGGGTAGCATCGCCATCAGAACCTGGCGGTGTGCGCGCGGGACCGGCGCTCATGCGTGGCCAGATATGGGAAGATATGGGGAGATATGGGGAGATATGGGGAGATATGGGGAGATGTGGGGAGATATGGGGAGATATGCAGACCGGCTCTCACGCGTGGCCACACGACGTTGGGACAGCGGGGTGTCCAGCGGGTGTGGGGAGATATGGGGAGATATGGGGAGATATGGGGAGATGTGGGGAGATGTGGGGAGATATGGGGAGATATGGGGAGATATGGGGAGATGTGGGGAGATGTGGGGAGATGTGGGGAGATGTGGGGAGATATGGGACAGCGGGGTGTCCAGCGGGTGTGGGACGAGTCTCCAGGTGTGTACGATGGTAGCAGCAGCTATCCTCTCCTGCTTCTCGGCGCGGCTGATCTGCTTGACGATGTACTGCGAGGCGAGCGGCGCGACGCCGCCCCGCCCGCCGCGCGGCTGCTGCAGCACGCGGTAGAAGAAGGCGCCTGTCCCCAGCCTTCGCCCCGTGAGGGGGAGGCTCTTCACACCTCTGCCGCACGCGGCGGAAGAGGGCGCCCGAAGCGCCCTCGGAGAGCGATTCCTTCAGCCGGCGGCGCCTGTCCACAGCCCGCCCCCCTGTGGAAGAGACGCTCTTCACACCTCGGAGAGCGACTCCTTCAGCCGGCGGCGCCTGTCCACAGCCCGCCCCCCTGTGGAAGAGACGCTCTTCACACCTCGGAGAGCGGCTCCTTCAGCCGGCGGCGCCTGTCCACAGCCCGCCCCCCTGTGGAAGAGACGCTCTTCACACCTCGGAGAGCGACTCCTTCAGCCGGCGGCGCCTGTCCACAGCCCGCCCCCCTGTGGAAGAGACGCTCTTCACACCTCGGAGAGCGGCTCCTTCAGCCGGCGGCGCCTGTCCACAGCCCGCCCCCCTGTGGAAGAGACGCTCTTCACACCTCGGAGAGCGACTCCTTCAGCCGGCGGCGCCTGTCCACAGCCCGCCCCCCTGTGGAAGAGACGCTCTTCACACCTCGGAGAGCGGCTCCTTCAGCCGGCGGCGCCTGTCCACAGCCCGCCCCCCTGTGGAAGAGACGCTCTTCACACCTCGGAGAGCGACTCCTTCAGCCGGCGGCGCCAGTGCGAGCCGAGCGTGGACAGGTCGTCCGGGAACGCGTGCGCGTACGTGGCGGCGGAGACGCCGAACGCAGCGCGGATGCAGCGGAAGCGGTCGAGCTCGTAGTGTGTCGCCTTGGAGATAGGGGGAGATAGGGGGAGAGATGGGGAGAGATGGGGAGAGATGGGGAGAGATGGGGAGAGATGGGGAGAGATGGGGAGAGATGGCAGCCTGCAACGGCACATGCAGCGACGGGGCGAGGAGGAGGGAGAGGAGGAGGGCGAGGGCGGCGCAGAGCTGCGTGCCATGCAGCAGCATGTACGCCGACGCGTGCCTGTTCACAGCAGTCTGTTCACAGCGGTCGTCTTGAAAGCGGCGGCGTTGTCGAGAGCGGCGTGTAGAGCCAGAGGCGCGCTGCCGCATCACGCGTTGCCAATCTCGGCTAGATCTCGCTGCCTCTCGGCTAGATCTCGCTGCCTCTCGGCTAGATCTCGCTGCCTCTCGGCTAGATCTCGCTGCCTCTCGGCTAGATCTCGCTGCCTCTCGGCTAGATCTCGCTGCCTCTCGGCTAGATCTCGCTGCCTCTCGGCTATGCGGCTGCCGCATCACGCGCTGCCGCGCGAGGAAAGTGATTGACGGCGGCGCTCCTCCCTCCCTCGCGATTGCCGACGAGAGGAGCAGCTGCACGCCTGTTCACAGCGGCGCGGTGTGTGAAGAAGGCGCCCTTCACGGCGAGATGAGGCAGCGGGCGGCACACACCGAGGTAGAGGGAGAGGCCGATGCCGACGAAGGCGCCACACGGCACCACGACACATGTGATGCCCAGGAAGAGGAGTGCCGCCTGCATGTGGCCGATCCCAATCTGACCGGACTGATCATTCACCCACGCAGGCGGCGCAGGCCGCCTGCAGGTTGTGCTTGCCGTACTCGGCCCATATCTCCCCACATCTCCCCATATCTCCCCACATCTCCCCATATCTCCCCACATCTCCCGCCTGCAGGTTGTGCTTGCCGTACTCGGCCCATATCTCCCCACATCTCCCCATATCTCCCCACATCTCCCGCCTGCAGGTTGTGCTTGCCGTACTCGGCCCGCGTGGCGTAGAAGAAGGCGCCCGCAGACACGCCCGCCGCAAAGAGCAGGACGAGCAGCGGGTAGACATAGAGCACCTATTCGAAGCGGGTAGACATAGAGCACTGTGAATAGGACGAGCAGCGCGTAGACATAGAGCACCCGGTGGCGGTGGGGCGCGAACGGGTTGCGGTAGATGGTGAGGCAATCCACCTAGCACGAAGCCATTCATCCATGCATTGCTAGTCATGTACGGGTCGCGGCAGATGGTGAGGGAGTGTACGTAGATCAGCAGCCGCCAGCCGACCGCCGCCGTCTCAAAGACGGAGAGAGTGAGGAGGAGAGGCCACAGGCCCGACGCCTGTAAGAACCAGAACCACACGCATCAGAATCATCCTCATCATCCGAGGAGGAGGAGGACACCGGAGGCCCGACGCCTCATTGTGGCCGGGCCTGGGGCCGGGCTCGCCTGGGCAACGCGATCAGTCAGTCAATCGGTCTTACACACACGTCGCGGAGGGCGGGCCCACGCGCACACACACGCTGCGCACGAATGGCTCGGGAGCCGACTCGAGGCACACTGTGTCGCCGGCTGCATCACTGGGCAACCCGATCCAAAAACACAGTTTTAGGTCACCCCAGTGGTGTGTGGGTGTGCTGTGGTGAGCTGTGCGCTGGGAAGAGAGGCGTGCGGCGCGCCGAAAAAGAAGAGCGCGACAAAGCAGGCAGACACGAGGGCCTCGCAGAGGGTGGCCCGCTGCACGAGCCATCCTGGCGTGCGGCGCACCTGCGGCAGAGCGCGGTAGAAGAGCACTACCGCAGCGCACGAGCCGAGAGAGAGGAGCCCGAGCGAGAGGAAGACGTCTCGCAGCAGCGGGTACACGACCGCCCAGCCGTGGCCCTCGGGCGGGTGCCACGGCATACGCGTGGAGGAGCGAAGCTCTCTGATCCAGCCTGCACGGCAGCTCAGCAAAGCGCAACTTGAGGGCGATGGTTCGGCTCCTCGTGTGTAGGGGACAGGACCGTGAGTCGCGGCAGCGCGCATCCATCCACAGCACTAATGACCGACACCCTGCGGCCGGAATCTAGGAATTGGATCATACCATGAGGCAGCTGTACGTAGTGCGCACCTACCCTACCCCCTAAGAACCCAGGCCGGTGTCGTGCGGGCATACACGCTGATAGCGGAAGCCGGGCATGCACATGGCTCTTAGGTCCACCGCTCTTGCCTCCGCCGGCTGCGTGCTGCTGCTAGGCCTCCTGCTGGGCCTCCTGCGCAAGCTGCCTGATGCAGACGACTTCGAAGCTGTCTCCAAAAAGTTGGAGGAGCAGGGGTGGGATGCGGCGGGCGAGGTCAGGCGACACGGCAAGGTCAGCATCCACGGACTCAGCGAGTATTCGAAGCGCGCCGACCTTACGCGCGGTCACATCGATCCGCGCGCCGAGCCCGTTCTCTATTTCGTCGGAACCACGCCAGGCTCGCGCGTCCTGAATTACATCGGAAAGTACACCTTGTGGCGCGGCGTCCTTCTCAATGGCAGGCCAACCTACCGTTCGGAGGTCGACTCAGACGTTGGGCTGTGGTACTCGCGCACTGGGCACTGGTACATCGGCGATTACGAATGGCTTGGGCTTCCTGGCGGGCATGCCTTTGCGGCCTCGGTCGAGCTCCGGCCCGAACTTGTTGGCCGTGGGTCTTGGAGGCTGTCTGACCCTCTCGCTGGTGGCGATAGCGGCGATAGCGGCGACGGCGGCGGCGGCGGCGGCGGTGGCGGCGGAAGCGGAGGCGATGCCAGCCCGCTAACCTATCTCGACTGCCCCCCCTCGGAGATGAATGCCGCCAAGGCACACGGCGCAAAGTGGAACGCAGCGCGCAAGGCTTTGTTCGTGCCAGCCGGCGTATCGCTGGCTCCCTTTGCGCGCTGGCTCCCCGAGGGAGCACAGATGACTGCACCCCCTTCGCTCGGCAGTCTTGACTCTGTAGAGGCGCCGGATCTCCAGCTGTTGCCAGACGGCAATGAAGCTCGACTCGCGCTCGAGCGTCTGCCCGACTTGCAACTCTCGGCGCCCGACTCCTCGCGCGCGGTCCGCTTCAATGTGTCAAATCCAGACGAGTATGCAGGGTCGGTGGCAATCCCTCTTATCCTTGTCGGGGTGCTATCGATTCGACCGGGTCTCACCATCCACGGCCGGCCTGCGTACAACTTGCGGCCCGTTGTAGCGAAGCATATTCACCCAGCAGGGATCGGCCTCAGCTTTGGGTACGACGGCGCGTGGTGCGTTGGCGACTACGATCGGCTGGGCAACAGCAGCCATTGCTACCTCAAGGCGTACGACAGCGCGCTTGACCCCTTGGAAGTGAACGCGCCCTGGAAGCGATGGCTGGACTCCCAAAAGCGATGGATCCCGGTTCTGTCGATGAGCTTGCGTGCCGCTTCGTATGTCGGCAGCGACTTGCTACTCTGCGGGTTGACGAGCCCAGAGCTGCGCCGGCGTGCGATTTTCTCATTCGTGAGGCTAAAACCAAGCGAAGAGTCGCTGCTGGATACACTGGTTGCCTTCCGACGTGTTTCGTGGGACAGAGCCGTAGGACCAGGGTCCTATTACACGCGCGAAGGGCAGCCTAAAAAGGTCGTGCTCCTGCACCATGACCTGAGTGCAACTTGGTTCATGACCACGCCGGACGAGCTCAGAGCCGAAACGGAGATGGAGTCCAGGAAGGCGTGGATGTATAACCGAGACGCTAGCCCGTTCGCCGAAGACGTGCAGAACCCTTGGATGCGGTCGACGGGCCGTTGGCAGTCAGCCGCCGGCTTTGCTTGCCTACCGATGGGCTCAGACCCGGAGTCCAAGAGCGGGAAACGATGGCAAGCGAGGGCAGATGAGCAAATCGCATGGCAGGAAGGCCGCGCTGGCCCCGAGGCTAATGCGCGCCAGCCAGCGCTGCAGCTGAGCATCGCTGACCTCGCAGAGGTGCCATTAGACGCCGACGCAGACACGGTGTGGATGGAGAGCATGGGAGGCAGCAGCACGCCTGCCCAAGCAGACGAACAAATGCCGCTGTGGGAGGCCTCGCGCCATTTCACCGGCTTTGGTGCGCGGTATCTGCCCGTGGCTCGCCCTGCTCGCCCTGCTTGGTCTCGCTGGTGGGCGGCGCCGGTATTTCTCCTGGCCTCGGGCTTGGGCTTTGCTTGTTGGACGTGGTGTCGAGCTCGAGTGGTCGCGGCACCCAGGCGGGTCAGGGCCCGGCAGGCGAGGGCCGCGCGGCGGAGGCGAGCGGGCAGGAATGCCGATGATGGTGAGACCAGGGGCGGCGACGGAGGTGGAGACGGCGGGGGCGGCGACAGAGGTGGAGGCCAGTGTACAGTTTGCTTGAACGCCAGCCCGACCCACACCTTTGTGCCATGCGGGCATCGTTGCGTGTGCGGCGATTGCGCGGATGCTCTGCTGGCAAGGAAGGCCGAATGCCCGATGTGCCGCCAAGCGTGCACCGCATGCATTCGGGTTTATGGTTGACGGGAAGTGGGATTCTCGTTTTCTGGCAATTCTTTTGTTGTATGCCCCCGCCTAAATTCTTTTTTTCGCCCGACACTAGGAGTTCAAGTGCTACACTCCGTTCCTCCCCTCCGGCGCAAAGGGCAACGGCTCTGCCCGCTGCGGAGGCGCTGCCTCCCGTGCCGATGGGCGCTCTTCACATCGGAGGAGCAACTGGACCGTGTCAGCGGCGACGGATGGGTGGCAGCGAAGGACGGCGATTACGCTGACGCCCTCGCCAAGGGCCACACGGTCATCCTCCTCGTGACCGAGTCGACCGGCGGACGAGCATTCTCCGCCGACCTCGATCGCGTCCTCCGCCAGCTTGCGAGGACCGCACGCGCTAGTGGGTCCATTGACCACACGCCGTATGGCACCTCTCGCGCGTCGTCCACCCGCTCACACTACACCTTCCACTCCGCCGCCATCTCCGCCGCCATCGTCACCGCCGACGCCCTCACCATTCAGAACTCGGCCGCCGCCCTCGGCTTCGAGCTCACCCTCGACCCTCGCGATCTCGCCCGGCGCTCGTCGTCGGGTCGGCCGCCATTGCGGTCGGCGCCACCACCTCCTCCCGCCCCCCCCGCAGCCACCGCCGCGCGGCCGCCAATGCGACCGACCCCACCCTCCTTCCCCGACCCCGCCCTAGACGCCCCCGACAGCGAAGCCCGCGCCGCGCGCGGCACCACCACCGACTCTACCTCCGACCCCAGGGCCTAGGCGGCCCGCCATGAAATCTAGCCGTGTGTGCTGGCGTCCGGGTCCCAGCGGGTTTTCACGTAACAAGTACACACGGGACTGGCGCGCACTGGCACTATGTGATATTTCTAAAATTCTTTTTTTCGCACGACACTAGGCAGCGCTTAGGCGGCTCCCGTGGTGTACCTGTGTTGGCGGGTGCGAATTTTCTTTTTTCGTGCTCGGCAGCTTCCATCGTGCGGCTGGTGGTGGCGCCTATGGAGCGCGACTACCTATCCGACCTCCTCTCGCACGGCCTCCGCCTGCTCTCCGAAGCTGCGTGGTCGATCCAGAAGGACGCGGTGCGCGGCTGCATCCTGGGCATCGCGCTCTTCTCGTTTCGCTTCCTGCAGCAGCGAGTTGTGCACACGCCAGTCAAAAGAGACCCAGGCGACCCGCCTCCGCGCCCGGCGAGAGGCCCCAGGCTGCTGGCCGCCGTGCTGCTCGTGCTCGGCGGCGCTTATGCGTGGATGCTCGCGTCGCCGCCGCCGCCTCCTCCTCCGCCGCCGCCGCCGCCGCCGCTGCCTCCTCCAGCACCGCCGCAGCTCTCCCGCCTGGCTGTGCCGTTTTGCGTCTCCACCCCTGCTTGTGACGGCCCCACCTTAATGCCGCCGCCGCCGCCGCCGCCGCCGCCGCCGCCGCCGCGGGCGCCGCCGCCATTTGCACCGCCGTTTGCACCGCCATTTGCGACCGCCATTTGCACCGCCGTTTGCACCGCCATTTGCACCGCCATTTGCACCGCCGTTTGCACCGCCATTTGCACCGCCATTTGCACCGCCGTTTGCACCGCCGTTTGACCCGCCGCTTGCACCGCCGTTTGCGCCGCCTCCGCCGCCTCCCTCTCCGCCTTCCACCCCTCTGCCCTCTCCGCCGCCGCCCCCTCCGCCCCCCGCAACCGCGCACGAGCGCGCGATGGGCGGGCCGTTTGCGCACGTCCGGAAGGCGCTGCGCACGTCGAGGAACGGCCGCGGGCCGGCCGTGCGGGAGGAGGAGGCGGAGGACCGAAGCGGCGATGGCGACCGCGCAGCGGCGGCGGCAATGTCCTCTGCGGGTGGATGCTGCGGTGGCTGCGGCGGAGGCTGCGGCGGCTGCGGCGGCGGCGGCGGTCCGTTGGCTGCGCCGGGCGGGAGGAGGTGCGGCGAGGAGGGCGTCGCGGGCCCGCCGTTCGCCGCCGGGAGCGGAGGGAGCTGCGGCCCGATTTGCGGCCCGACACACCCATTCGCGTGGCTGTTCTCCAGCGGCGCCGGAAGAGGGAGCTGTGGCCCAATGGGGAAGGCCGCCCCGTTCTGCTCCGCCGCCGCTGGCGCCGGCGGCGGCGGCAGCTGAGGCCCAATCACCGGACCAATCACCGGACCGCCCACGGGCGGCGCGGAGCAGACGGGAGGCGCGGCCGAGCGCGGTAGGTGCGGGCCGAAGACGCCGCCGCCGGACGCGGCTCGAGACACGGCGCGTGGGAGGAGGCGCGCGGCGCTCGCCGTCGCCACGCCGCCGCCGCCGCCGCCGCCGCCGCCGCCGCCGCCGCCGCCGCCGTTGCCGTTGGGGCCGCCGTTGCCGCTGGGGCCGTTGCTGCTGGGGCCGGCGGCGGTGGTAGGCGTGGCGGACGCTGCGGCGGCGGCGACGACATCCCTCCAGTGCGCGATCGCCGCCTCGTGGTGCTGCTGGGGGAGGAGGTAGAAGAGGAGGTACGCCGGCGCGCGAAGCACGTCCGCCTCCCGGACCAGCTTGACCTGGGAGTCGTTGAGAAGGTACCAGCGGGCGCCGCCGCCGCCGCCGCCGCCGCTGGCGCCGCCGCCGGCCGCGCCGTTGCCGGGCTTGCCCATCGCGCGGACGTAGCAGTAGTAGTGCCCCGAGTGGGTCGAGCCGCCGTCGTGGCAGACGACGGCGTACAGCTGGTACGGCAGCGGCGGCGTCTGCTCCACCCCGAGCCGCGTGCGCGCCGCCGAGTAGCGCGCGAGCTGCCAGGTCGCGGGGAAGGCGACGTGCGCGGAGATCTTGCCGGAGCCGCCGCCGGCCTCGCCAAACGAGAAGCGCTTCAGATGCACCGAGAGGTGGCGCGGCGGACGCTCGACCAGGAACTGCTTGCGCGCGCGCCGCAGCTTGCCGCAGGCCTCGCACTTGTACTTGTTTGCGCCGTCGAGGAACTCCTCCTGGCAGAACTGCGTCATCGCGCCGTCCAAGTCGGGCGCCACGCGGCCGCCCACGGCGCGCAGCTCGAGGGACAGGTCGAGGAAAGGGTCCTGCGTGTTCGACTCGTGTCCGCAGTGGCAGCACTGGATCTGCGAGCGGAGTGCGCCCGAGAACCAGGACTGCAGCGCCGTGTACTTGCCAGTCACGCCCGGTGGGCGGGCGGCCTCGACCACCGCGCTGCCCTCCTTCGTGAGCTTCTCGAGCACGTACCGCAGAAACTCGTGCGCGTCCTCCTGGCGGCCGAGCCGGAACCCCTTTGCGATTGCGGGCAGGGCGTTGGCGATCGCGCGCGGCGCAAAGGCCGGGCTCCGCGGGCCCTGCGCGAACGTGCGCTGCACCAGATCCTCGAGCGCACAGAAGAGGCAGAACTCCCCCTGGCGGCGGCGGCACTTGGCCGAGTGCTGCCGCTTCTCGAGGTATCTGTGGAGCAGCTGTGTGTGCACGAGGCACTGCAGGACCGAGTTCATAAAGCAGGTGTTGCCGAGATTGGCGAGGCCGCCGCCCGCCTCGGGCTGAGCGACCATCGTCGCGCGCGAGCAGCGGCGAACTCAGCGGCGCCGCAGGCGCCCGATCCGGCGGCGGAGGTGAGCGCAGGTGCTACGGGCGCGCACGGCCAGGTAACGGAGCAGCAGCTTTTTTTCTTTTTTCTCTCTGCCCGCCCGTTAGTGAGTGTGTGAGTGTGCCTTCGATGAGACGCCGTCGCCAACTGTCATGTCGGTAGCCGCTCTGCACCGCTCGCTGCTGGAGCGCGGTTGATCGCGGCGCCGACGCCGCGGCGGCGCCATCTCGCGCGGCGAGAGACGGCGCTGCATCGGCGCCAAAACAAAAGGGAGGTCGCGGCCCGGCCGCGGCAGCAAAAACATCGACGTTCGCTTCTACTTCTCTTCTCGTCTCGTCTCGTCTTGTCGCAGGCGCACACGCGCGCGATCCGCGTCGCTCCGCGAGGACACGGACCACCGGGATTCGCGAACCGGCGGCATAAGAGCGCCGGCTCGAACGCCGGCCGATCGTGCAACGGAGTCATGGAGGTCTTGTACGCTCTGCAAAACTGGCTCATGATATATGACTGGTTTTGTCCGCGGGCGCGAGGGCACTGCGGAGGCGGGCGGCGGCGGCGGAGGCGGCTGCAGCAACACACGGGCTGGCGGCGGCGCGCGGACGGTGGCGGCGGCGCGCGGACGGCGGCGGCGACGCGGCGGCACTGCTCCTCTGCTGCTGCTGATGGCAATGATGCTGCTCCTGCTGCCCCTCCCGCCCGCCCCAGCTGCCCGCACGCTCGGTGTTATCTCTTCACCTTCACACTGGTCGAGTCATAGGTGCAGCGCGATCAGCGCTGAGCTGCTGAGATGGAGTGATTAATTATTAATAGATTGTATTCCAGAATTCCGTTGGGGGGAGGTATTCAGTCGGGGGCATTAATAATCGTCGGGCGGGGGCGCGGCGCGGCGGCGGGCGGCGCGGAGCGGGGCGGCGAGACCATCTGTACTGAACGGGCCAGCTACTGAGCCCTGGTGTCGAGGTGTCGAGGCCCGGTGTCGAGGGTGTCGAGCTGCTGTCGAGGGATAGAGGTGTCGAGGCCTGTCGAGGCCTGTCGAGGCCTGTCGAGGCCTGTCGAGGCTGAAACCATGCTTGTCCGTGTCGAGGAGTGTCGAGGGGTGTCGAGGGGTGTCGAGGGTGTCGAGGGTGTCGAGGGTGTCGAGCGGGTGTTGAGCGGGTGTCGAGTGTTGTCAAGAGGCGTCTGAGGTATCGAGGTGTCCAAGGTGGCAGGTGGATGCAGTTGCAGCCCATCAACATACAACAAAAGTTGGGCAGCAGTTGCAAAGCTGTTTCATCCCTTAGTTGCAGCCTCAGTTGCACCCTGTTGATGTAGCACAACCTGAGCACAACCAGTATACTCTCTGTGGACATTTGAGGACATCAAGTGCCGGGAGTCATTGCCACTGTGCACCAAGGTGCTGTGCAGGCGCAGCACCGCAGCAGCGTCGCTGCTGCAGCAGCGTCGCTGCTGCAGCGTCACCGGCGCACAAAGCGCAACTGACCACAGCGCTCATGGCACAAGGCTGGTGCCATGAGTCAGTGGACATTGCCACTGCACAAGGTGCTGTCCAGCAGCTAAGGGCTACAGTACCCCATCGCAGCAGCGTCGCCGCCGCTGCAGCGTCGCCGTTGCAGCGTCGCCAGTGCACAAAGCGCAATGGACCACAGGTCTGCACTCATGGCACAAGCTCACTGGTGTGAGGATTCATTGCCACTGTACAAGGTGCTGTGCAGCACCTTAGGGCTACCTGAGTACTGCCATGTTTGCTGCATCAACAGGGGTGCAACTGACTGCAACTTGAGCTAGAACTTGAGAGGCTGCAACTCAGGGATGAAAGTACTGCCAGCCAAGTTTGATTGCTGCTGCAACCCTGATTTCTAACTCTGTGACTCCAATGGGTCTACGTCTCTGCTGTGTTAGGATCATCAGAGGTGGTGGAGCGGTGTCGAGCGGTGTCGAGCGGTGTCGAGCGGTGTCGAGGGGTGTCGAGGGGTGTCGAGGGGTGTCGAGGTGTCGAGTTTGGCACCTTGACACGGACGAGCATGGTTTCAGCCTAGATGGTGTCGAGGGGTGTCGAGGGGTGTCGAGTTTGTCGAGTTGGCATGGGTTGTCGAGGTGTCGAGTCGGTGTCGAGGTTTGGTGTCGAGGTGTCGAGGCCAGGGCTCAGGCCAGCTAGCGCTGGTCTTTGAGTCGGCGCAATGGTCGCGCCGCCCTCGACTCACGGGGCTGCCTTCCACCGTAGCTGCTCAGGCCGGGGGGAGGGGGGAGACCTCATGTTCCTCGCGGAACGGGAGCAGGCCCCTCCTTGCCCGGTCTGCGAAGCAGGGCGGTGGTCGTGCCATCTTCGCTTCACAACGACCACGCCGCAATCGTCGCCGGCGCGCCACACGTTCCCGTAGGCCGGACTGTCCTGGTCGAGAGTGTGTGCCGCCAAGGCGGGGCACTCGGGGACAGTGCCGACGGGACGCGGCTCGAGAGACGACTCCCGCGAAAGCACGGCTGGCATATACCAAGCTCGTGGTGTACGGCAAGGCGGTGGCGGCGGCGCAGTATGGCCTTGTGGGCATTGCTAGAGGAGACGATCAACGAGTCTGTGGACGGCAAGTATGGAGAGCAGGTGGCCGCGGTCGAGTGGCGGGACTGAGAGGCGAGGACGAGGATGATGATGAGTCAGACTGAGAGGAGGGCATTGCTGCTGCTGGTGTTCGGACGGGACGGACGGCGGTCGCACGCGGCTAACCCGGCGCGGATCCGGGCGCCCAATTCGCTCTTTCTTTTACACTTTCAACACTAATTTCAAAGCATCTCCGCTCTGTCACTACTAAAATTTCTCACTCATACATGCACACGCACACGCACACGCACACAAGAATCCGACACAGACCTCAATCAAAACACAGCACGTCGACAACCGAATATCAAAGTCACGGCGTGAAGCAGCGCGTGATCCGCGGATGGATTGTGCAGCCGACGTCGCCGCATCGCTCCTTATGGAAGGCATCCGTCTTCCACACATCGCGCAGCGCGTCGAAATTCCCTTTCAAGTCCAGCCGTCCCGAGTAGGACTCGGAGCCTTGCTCGACGTACTCGATGCCATGCGGCATCAGCCAGTTGACAAACACCAGGAGGTCGCCCGCCGTGATGTCGACCACGTAGACGGAGTCCGAGATGAAGCCCGCGCCGACGAGGTGCTTAAAGTCCCTTGTCGCGGTCGTGTTGTGGTGCGTGTGGAAGAAGAAGCGCTTCTTGCCCGCCACCTGGTAGTGGAAGAGCGGCTGGCAATTGTCATTGTGCCCGTCGGTGTGCGGCTGCGACCCTGCCATGTTGCCCCATCGCGTCGCCGTGTCGCCAAACTGCCAGTCGAGCTCGCCGCTGGCGACGCCGGGCAGAGTTGGGTTCAGCTCGTTGAAGGCCTGCCTCCACGCGCCGGGCTCCTGAAGAAGCCGCAGCTTGCTGGCACTCGCCGGATCCGCCACGATGTGCAGCGGCGTCTCCGAGCTGATCGTCTTGATGATGAGCGCCGGGTCGACGTCCTTCAAGGCTCGCTTCTCGACCTGGAAGCGTTTCTCCTCGTCGACAAGGGACACGTCCCACGTGTGGGCCGAGGCGGAATAGCACGTGCCGCACTCCAGGTCGGACACCGTGTAGAGCGGCAATTCGCCCGACTTGAATTTTGCGTGCTGCGCCTCCTTCTCTTGCCGCTTCTGGTCGTCCTTGGAACCCCTCCGCTGCGGCGCCGGTGCTGGGGCTGGCTGGCCCGACTGGGCATCGATGCCGACGACGCGGGTCGCCGTGTCCGGAATAGTGTTGCGCACAAAGGAGCCATACCCGTCCGCAGCGGCCGAACGGCGCGCGGCGCCCAGCAGCAGCAAGAGCCGGAGTACCCCGCCTTGCATCAGTGGTGAGGTGTGTCGGTGGTCTAATACATTTTGGGACAGAAAAAATTCTCGAAGCGACTGATTTTGGCCCATGCGCATGCTCTTCTTCGTGCTCGCCGCGCGCTCGGGAGCCGGAGTGGCGGGGTCGGAGCTGCTGCAACGGCGCGAGTGGCCGCGAGGGGTCGTACTGGGGCTCTCCAGAGGGCGAGACCACTACGCGGTGCTCGCGGCGGCGCACGGGGCAGCTTTGAGCAGTGCAGCGCCTCAGCAGCGCCTTCAAGCAGTGCAGCGCAACGCCAGCTGCCTCTCTGGAGCTATGCGGCGGCTGGCGGGCCTGTGCGATGGCGCCGATCCGTGGGCTCGGGACGCGCAGTCGGCTCGCGTGCCGGTTGCCGAGTCAGCCTGGCTGGCGAGAAGCGCCAAGGCCTTCCCTGCATTCTGGGCGCTGCCCAGAAGTGCGCAGTACCTTTGCTGCGCCGACGGGCGGCCTCGATGCGGATTGCCGCGAGTGGCGTGGGAGCCTCCAGCGGCGCGGTCGTTGGTCAACACCGCGGCGCGCGCGCGCCGCGGGTGCTGCACAACAAGCGGAGTGCATGGGCGGGCGCTCGATCGCTCTCCGGCGCCCAACTTTGACTATCGATTGCCGCCGGTTATTATAACCGGTGGGAGATCGTTTCTGCAGACGGAGGGATTCAACGCGGCGATAACTGCCCGAGACGTCCCTAACCTTTATTTATTTCTGCCCTGCTTCAGGAATCGGGGGCTCACTTCTTTCTTGCTTTGTGCAGTGCTCTTTCTTACAGCGACGTATAGCAACGTACTCCACACCACACAGCTCGACTCCACAGGTGACAGGCCCTCACAGTATATACCAAAATCTGAGAGCGAGACGCAGACCGGCCTCAGAGACACTGAGACAGAACGCGCTGAGAACGCGACGACTTCCACACCCGAACATGCCCTCTGGCCCCGCGCGCGCGCTAGAGCTGCTGCAGCGACTGGGACGCAAGCTCAAAACCGGGCGGGCAAGTCATCGGCCTATCCGCTACGGAGTATATAGTGGCTACTGCACCGTTCTAGAGCACAGTGTTACACACGTGAGTACGGACTACCGGATAGCCCCATGTGTCCTTTTAAAAAGATTTAGTGTTACACCTTACCGCACACGTGAGTACGGACTAAAGCCCCGTACCTCTACGGAGTATGTAGTGGCTTCTGCACCGTTCTGTGCGCCCTCCCATGCTCTTTCTTACAGCGACGTATAGCAACGTACTCCACACCACACAGCTCGACTCCACAGGTGACAGGACCTCACAGTATATACCAAAATCTGAGAGCGAGACGCAGACCGGCCTCAGAGACACTGGGACAGAACGCGCTGAGAACGCGACGACTTCCACACCCGAACATGCCCTCTGGCCCCGCGCGCGCGCTGTCTCGGCGGCGGCGGGGCGCAGTCATGGAGAGAAGATAGAGGGGGCGCGGCGGGCGCGGGAAGAGTCGCCGCGGCGAGGGGACGCGCCCCCTCGCTCCTCGGCGCAACATGCCCGCGCCGCCGCCGCCGCCCCCCTTGGCCGCCGCGGCTCAGGAAGAGAGGGGGCGGCCGAGGGAGAGGGGAGGGGGGGGGCGCGTCTACAGGGCGGAGGCGGCGGCGTCGCGCGCCACCTCGGCCGCCTCCTGCGAGAAGTAGCCGCCGAGGAGGAGGCCCTCGAAGTTGACGTCCTGCTGCGACCACGTCTTGCCCGACACCGCCTCCTGCGCCATGAAGCCGGCGGCGGCGAGCATGCCGAGGCGGCCTGCGGGGTGCGGGGTGGGCGCGGGGTGAGCCCTGCGGCGGCCCGGGCGGCGGCCGCCTCGCCGCGGGGCGTGGGCGCGGAGGGAGGGCGGGGAGGAGGGGAGGGGCCGGGGCGGCACCGTGCGACAGCTCCTTCTCCTGCATCTCGCGGAGCTCGGCGGGGTCGGTGGGCTTGAGGCCGAGCGGGTCGAAGCCGAGGTCGCCCGGGTAGTAGTCGGCCTTGAGCTTCTGGATGTTCTCCTGCCCGTCGCCCGAGTACGGGTTCTCCCACCCCTTTTGGATGCGCAGCGTCTCGCAGATGCCGATGCCGAGCGTCATGAGGAACCAGATGGCCGGCGGCAGCGCGGGGATCTGCTCGATGGCCGGGCCACCGTCCGCCGAGAAGAGCGGGTGGAAGCCCTCCTGCACCAGGAAGCCCGCCGCGGCGAGCATGCCCACGCGGCCGTGCGTGAGCTCCGCCTCGCGCCACCGGTAGACCTCGCTCTTGGAGGTGCCCTCGAGGAGGTTGGCGGGGTCAAAGTTGCCGGCCGGGGCGATGTTGCCCTGCGAGCGGGGAGGGAGAGGGGCGGCGACGTCAGAGGGGGTGAGGGGATAGGAGGAGCGGGGCTGGCGCCGGCGGCGAGTGAGCGCGGGCTGGGAGTCGCGAGCGCGGAGCGTGGCGGCGGCGCACCGGCAGGCCGTAGGCGAAGTCGGCCTTGGAGGCGACGGGCTCGGCCGCGACCGCCTTGACGGGGCCGCTGCGGGGCGCGACGTTGAGGGCGAGCGAGGAGGAGGCGAGCGCGAGCGACATGGCGATGACAAAGGATGCTTGGTTCTGGGAGGTGTCTGCGAAGGGGCGCGGAAACGTCCGACTGAGAAAAGAATTTTCCCGCGCGTCGCTCTCGCACCGGCAAAACCAACGCTGGGCACGGGATGGGCGCGCACTGGCAGCAACGGGCTCCCTCGCACAACGCTGGGCACACGGGACTGGTACGCACTGGCACAAACACAAGTGACAGGAGACACGTTTCGATTTTCCCCTGGGTGTGCAATTTGTGTTGCACACGTAGTCGGCGCCGCCAATGGTGACATCTCACCGCTCAGTAGGTGCGCACGTGCCGCTCCACAGCCTGCTGGCACACGGGGCAGCGCTGTCGCGGCGGCGACTCACTCGTCATCTGCAGCCTTAAGCCAACGGCGATGCCACCAGCAGCAGGGGACACGATGAACAGGTAGACAACGGCCAAGGCGATGGCGAGGACGAGGAGACACGGGACGACGGCAGGGGAGGCGAGGAGGACGGAGGCGAGGGCAGAGACAGCGCCACAGTCGACGGAGGCGACAACGATGGAGATTGGAAGGGAGCGACAACGCGCACAGAGGATGAGGATATAAACTGGGACGACGCAGCGGAGGGGATAGACGAGGGAATCGAGGGACCGGAAGGCTTTCGCGACAGCGACGATGACGACGAAGAAAGGGGAGGAGACGGAGGGGCGACACGCAGGAGGAGCAAAATCGCGAACGGCCCGAGCAGAGAGGGCGACGGCGGAGCACGAGGGGGCAACGGAAACGCTACCAATGACGCGAACCGAGGCACGGGCGACGGCGGGGACGGGGAGGGCGACAGCGACGTCGAGGTTGACGCAACGGTATCGAGAGCGCCACCCAAAAGGAGGCGGACAGCCATGGAGGTCACCGAATGGAGGGCGAACGGCACGATACGAAAAGGCAGGGCGAGGCGGATGGAGAAAGAAGTGCCGAGGAGGCCTTGGTGGAGGGGAGGGACGGGAGGACGAAAGAAGGGCGAGGAGGACGAGCGGCCCGCACAGACCGCGAGCAGACAGCGCCTGCTGGCCATTTCGAGACATTCGCAAAGAACGCTAGCTACATGGGAGGGCTTCGTGAAGGATGGATTGAAAAACATTCGAACAAAGAAGAGGCGACGGGAGGAACCGGCAGAGGATGCAGTGACGTGACACACACACACACACACACACACACACACACACACACACACACACACACACACACACACACACACACACACACACACACACACACACACACACACACACACACACACACACACGCCGCTCACCCACGCGCACCGGGCCTTGCACTTTGAATGCCGTGGGGCTCCTGTCGTTAGACGTGGAGACGCGAGGGTTGCCCCCCTTGCCCCACCACCTCGTGTGTGTGGAGAAGTTTACCTTACCTTACCTTACCTTACCTCGCTGCCTCCTCTGCGGCGTGACCGTGAAGGAAGGTGTGTAAGGGGGGGGGGGGGGGTCGAAAAAGAGGAACCTTTTAATTCCATCGCCGCGGAGGGGGCCCCCGAGGGAGCAGGGAGGGGCGGGGAGGAGGACTGAGTGAGCGCCTCAAATCCACAGGAACCCGCCGGTGATGTCGATCGCCACCGGGAAGAGTTCGCATTCCTTGACATATATTGGCCTAAAATATACATAATATACATCGGGCGGGGGGCAACGGCCAACGCGCACACGCAAAAGTAGTGTACACTCGGCGAGGGACCTCAGCCCACTCCACGCCGTAGGCTAGCACGCGCACATGGCAAGACGGAGCGACGCGATGGACTACGAGTCAGACTGACACCTCCCGGATCGGTGAAACAGAAAGTGCGCGGTGCGCGTGCACGTGCGCGCGTGTGAGGTCATACCTAACAGGGCCCTCGACGGCGCGACTCAAGGCGCTGTCTAATTCCATGCACGTCCCCCTGCGCCGTCCTCTCTCAGAATCCACACTCATATCTTGAGCTCGAACCCTACCCGCCCGCTCGCCGCATGTAGAAGCATGTTCTTTTCGTGCCAGCCGATGCCCCCGGGTGGGTAGTTAAACCTGGTGTTCAACCAGAGCACGAGCTTGGTCAGCACCTCGTTGACCGCCAGCGCCTCGCCGATCGCCTTAGCGCCCTCGTCGCCGATGCCATTGCCCCAGAGGTTCACAGATGCCATAGATCGGTCAGCACCCCGCTGACCTCAAAAGCGGAGGCCAGCGCATAGAGCCCCTCGTCGCCGATCTCGTTCCCGCCGAGGTCCAACTCGGTCAATTGACGCGGAGGCCAGGTATTGACGCGAAGAGCGGATGCTAGCGCCTTGGCACCCTCGTCACCGATGCTGTTCGCCCAGAGCACGAGGATGGTCAGCACCCTGTTGACGTCAAGAGCGGCTGCTAGCGCCTTGGCGCCCTCGTCGCCGATGTTGTTGTTCCAGAGCAAGAGGTTGGTCAGCACCCCGTTGAATGCGAGGGCGCCGCCGATCGACTTCGCGCCCTCGTCGCCGATCTCGTTTTCGCCGAGGTCGAGGTTTTTCAGCACCCCGTTGACCGCGAGCGCCTTGCCGATCGCCTTGGCACCCTCGTCGCGGATGTTGTTGTTGTTGAGGCGCAAATCGGTCAGCACCCCGCTGCCCGACACGTACTCGGCGATCTCTGCAGCGCCAATCGGGCCGATGAAGCAGCTAGCCAAGCCCAGGGAGGTCAGCTTGTTGCGCTGCCGCTCGACGCGGACGATGCCGAGGGCCGCCTCCTCGGTGAGGCTGTTCCAGCCCACGTCCAAGGAGGTCAATACCTTGTTGAAGCGCAGAGCGGAGGCCAGCGCCTTGGCTCCCTCGATACCGATCTCGTTGTGGGTGATCTTTAGCTCGGTCAACACCGCGGCGCCTGTCGCGAGAGCGCCGCCGAGGGCTGCTGCGCCCTCGTCGCCAATCATGTTGCCGCGGAGGTCCAAGCTGATCAGCACGGCGCTACTGCGCACGATCTCGGCCAGCACGATGCTGTCCTCGTCGTCGATGTCCTTGAATTTGCGGGGATAAGTATCTGAGCCGTGCAGCACTAATTGGCGCGAGCTCTCCAGATCACGCCGGGACTTGCCCACCTTGTAAGATAGAATCTCGCAATTCGAGTAATCTGCTTGGATGTATGTCTTGGAAACTTCTTGGTGTCTGCTTATGTGTCTGCTAGACAACTTGTCGTCGAGCCATTGCTCCTTTTGGCACCACCCACCTGAGGCATCGCGCGCGTTGCTGCAGTATGGTTTGTCACTGCTGCGGAGGCAACCGCGCTTGAGGGTGCTCCCCCCTCCATACTTGGTCGGTGGTCCACACCTTTCGACCTTCTGCAAATCAAATCTGTCGGGCACCACGTCCGGGCACCAGGCAACCTGGTTCTTCCACGAAGTTGCAGGGTGTCCCGCCTCGGGGCCCATTGACGCTCCATTTCCTGCTGGATTGCCCCTTGTTGCCTGCCATCGGATGCCTGATCGTTTGCTGATGGCGGCAAGAATCGCCTGACTGATTGCGGTTTCCCCCTGCAAAAAGGGCGACTGGCCATACGCTGCATACTGCGCCTGGTTGATGTCGTCATCGCCGCAAATGTAGAGCTTGAAAACGTTGTTGGTGAAGCTGCTCGGAATCCTGACGACCCAGCTGCTGCTGAGCGAGATCATCATCTCCGGTTCCTTGTCGGACTGCTGGTCGTGAAACAAGTCGAGCGTGGCTCCGTGCTCGGAGAGCGTGTCGTTCAGCCCCTGCAGACGCCGAAGCAGGCCCTCGTTCTCCAGCTCCTCGGCCGCCCAGTACACCCAAAAGTGGCGGTTCTTCTCGAACTCCTCGATCTCGCCGTCCCCATCCGCGTCGATGACACCCTTGGGTTCGGCGATCCGGCCGATGATGGCGTCAGGCGGTTCGCCAAGGACGGCGCGCCCGCACTTTTGGCCCATCGCGTAGTTGCTCGAGCCGACGTAGAGGTAGGCGTCATCGTTGTGGTACGTGTCCGTGTTGGTCGTGATGACGGGAATGCGGCGCGTGCAGCCCGAGATGGCGGCATCGAGTTTGGCGTACTGCTCGTTGCCCTCGGTGAACGGCACCGTGACGACGAGCGCGTCCGCTCCGCCCGAACAGGTCTGCGCGATCATTTCGACCGCGAGGTCCGCGTCGAAGCCGACCGCGTGCCACTCGAGCTTGGCACGCTGGTAGACGGCCAGCTCGGCGCCCGACTTCCAGGCGCCCCAGAACCCCTCCGCCTCGGCCTGCGCGTGCGTCACAGCGGCGATGGTTGGTTGCCAAGGGCAAGCCTCGGTACCCTTCTCGGTGCCCGGCCCAGCAAATGGCGCAAAGACCGGTCCGCGCACCGTCGGACTGAATGAATCTTCTGACGTGGTGTTGGAGAGGTCGAGGACCTGCGGTCGTGGGGGCGTGAGCGGGGTGTCAACAACCTATACTCAGGCTCGAGAGACCAGTCGCCTCACCGGGATCGCGCCCGCGTCGGGCACGAACACCGACTCGAGGAACTCGGAAACGCCGCCAGAGCCGTACGAAGACAGAGCAATGGCCGAGCAGCCCAGCCCAATCACCACGGAGAAGAAGATGCACAGCTTCTTTGACGAGCAGAACTTGCCGATGCGGAAGGTCGGCGTGGTCTCCTCCACGGCGCCCTGGACAGTGCAGACGAGGGTTAGTCACGAGCAGGGCGCGCTGAACGAGCAAAACAGTGAGCGCCGAGGGCGTGGTCGACGACGGCGGTGCGTCGTCGACAGACGCCTTGCCGGAGCCGACGCCAGCGACGTCTTCCTCGTCGACAGATGCGTTGTCGGAGCCGACGCCAGCGAGGTCTTCCTCGTCGACGTCCGTTCCGAGCAGGGCTGCGAACCCGTTGGGGTCGACGCGGCCGATCGGGGTGAGGCTCTTGGTGGTCTTCTTGGAGCGGTCGACCAGGTTGGACTCGCCCTTGCGCTCGATCTTGCGGAGCGGGGAGGGGGTCTTCCACTCGTCGAGGCCCTGCGCGTGACGTGCGGCAGACAAGAGGTCACAGAGTCAATAAAAGTCCCCGCCCGTGTCCCCGCGATTATACACATGTGTACGTGCTGGGAGGCGCTCACCGCCGGGGGCGGCTCCTCCTCTGGCGGAAACTCCTTGGCAGAGACGGTCCAGTCGGTGCCGCCCTACGCATCAACAGCGGGACGCGGGGTCAAGGGTGCGCGGGTCCGCAGACGCACGACAAGACCCGGAGCCGCTCGCCGCCGGGGCGGGCTCCTCTGGAAAATCCTTGATCGACGGCAGCGGCGCGCCGCCGGCCGCTGCCGGCTTGAGGGCCGTGGCGACTTTGGTGACCGGCTCGAGCGCCAGGTCGTTTTTGGTGACGCCGTTGGGGGCCGTCGGTGGGTCGGTCGGCGGGCGCGCGAGCTTGGACCAGAAAACGGCGTTCTGGCTCGGCTCGTGGGCGGCAAAAATGGCCTTGGCCGTGTCCGCGTCGACCGTGTCCGCGGCGGTCTCCGGCTCCGCCGCCGCCGCGGCTGTGTCAACGCTCGCATCCTTGGCGCCGCTCATGTAGTCCGAGAGCGAGGGGGGGGTGGGCGAGACAGCGCCGGTGTCGACCGCGGACGCGTTCGCGGCGAGGGCGTCCTGTGGATTGGGGAGGCGGCGGGTGCAGTGGGCCTCGGCGTCCGAGTCGACCGTGTCCGCGGCAGGCGCCTTTGCCTCGGCCGGGTCCTTCTTGAGGGCGCCCTCGTGCACCCCCGCGGTGCCGTCCGTGATCGGGACGCCCTTGGCGCCGCACGCCTGTGGAAGAGGGAGAACCATGTCGCGGGAGGTGATTAGAGGTCTGCGACATGCGCACACGCACCGCCTTAGCTCCGAGGAGCGAAGGCGACTTCGACGCGGAGGAGATGACGACCTTGATGCTGCCGTCTTCGGCCGACACGATGCCGACCTTCATCACTGTCATCTGGTCGGACATGATATTGATCGAGTTCACTCGTATGAGGTGGATGGCGAGCGTCTGATACTTATGGAGGGGCGGGGGGAGGGGGGGGAGGGCGGGGGAGCATTGGTCTTGGGGTCATCAAGATGTCATCATTCGTCTTGGCTGGAGACTGCGGACGACTGCAAAGTAATACTGCGCATTATTATTCAGAGTACTACGAAAGCGCCTACGGAGCACAACCACGAGAAAGAGGGTCAAAAATGCTGTGAAGATGTCTTGGGTGTATATATGGGTGTATATGGGGATGTATGGGGACATATGAGGTACATGGGGGTATATGGGGTACATGGACATGGGGTATGCTGCTGAGAGCATATTTGAGGGGGAATGGAGAGGAAGGGGGGCTCAGGAGGGCCGCGCCTACTCGCAGCGTTCACAGCTCGAGGCCCAGCTCGCAAGATGTCCGCGGCGGCTCCCCTCGATCACGTTGTTTTGGATCTGCGGGCGCGCAGGCGACGGCGGGAGGGTCAGCAGCATAAAATGGGATGCGCATGGTGCGGGCTAGCGCGGGGCAAGGGTGGCGAATGGACAGCAGCGGACGCATCTCGTGGCTCCTCAATGGCAGCGGCGGCACCTGCGAGCGGGAGGGAGCAGGCGGTGCGAGGCCAAGGGGTACAGCCGCTCGGGCGGCGCATCGGCCATCGCACGGCGGGAGTGGTGCGGGCGGGGCGGGCTCGGTGAGGCGTCGCGGGGATCAAGGCGTGCAGCTTGCGGCGAACGTAGGCGGCGGGGCCAGCGTGCGAGTCGGGGAAAGCGCACGGCTTGGCTAGGCGCGGCACACCTGGAAACCGTCGGGGAACAGGAAGGACGGAGGGCGGGGGTACAGTGCTCTCTATCAAAAAGAGCTGCGTGCACCACATAGCCACACACACATTACCTGCCGGATTTTCTTCTTTCTTAGCAGGCCGGATGAGCGCGTCTGCAGTCCCGTCCTCCTCCTCGTCCTCTCTGCGCACGAGCGTGGGCGGCATCAAACTTCACGTCGACGTCGACGCCTATTTCGTGCACGTGCACCAGGCGGAGGAGCCGCAGAAGTACCCACGCGGCAAGGCGCTCGCGGTGCAGCAGCACAACGACATCATCGCCGTCAACCACCACGCGAAACAGCTGGGCGTGCACAAGCACATGTCGCCGGCCGACGCGCGCGACATCTTCAAGGAGCAGAATGTGTCGCCGGGCCTCATCCACGTGCCCACCGATCCCAGCTCCGGCCGCGTGACGTATGCGCTGTACCGACGCTGGTCGGCACGGCTCGTGGCGCTGTGGCGCAAAATCGCCGCCGACGCCGTCATCGAGGGGCACCCGACGAGCCTCGACGAGGTGTGGATCGACGCGGGGACGGCTGATGTCGCCGCCACACTGCGCCTCGCTGGTGAGGTGCGCCGCGGCTCGCGCGCGCTGGGCTTCGACGTGTCAATTGGCCTCGGCCTTCTCAAGTCTGTGGCAAAGCTCGCGTCGCGCGCGGCGAAGCCCGAACGCGGTGGCCGCGGCGTGGTCTCCGCGATCACGCCCGACGAGGTGGACGCCCTCCTCTCCCAGACAGACCTCGCCGTGCTGCCCGCCGACGGCCAACGAAGCTGCTGCTCCGCCGGCGTCGTCGCCGCTGTCGCCGCCACCGTCCTTCACGGCAGCGCTCCGTCACTGCGAGACGCGCAGGAGCTCTCTCTCAACCGTCTGGAGTCGCTCCTGCGAAGCGAGGAGGGCCCGACCGGGCCTGGCCGCAGCAGCCCCGGCAGCCTCGCGCGCGAGCTTTACCAGCGCGTGCGTGGCGAGGCCGTCGACGATGACGACGCGCGCGTGCAGGAGCGGCGACCGCAGAACGAGATCTCTCAGTCGCTCTCGCTCGCCGTCGTGCCGATCGTCGTCCCCTTTCGCGGCCGCACCACGCCGGTGTCGCCATTGGCCGCCGGCGACAGCGACGAGTCACGTGAGCTCGACCTGCAGCTCTGGTCGCTCTGCAGCGAGCTGCTCGACCGCAGTGCCCGCCACCGCCGCCGCCACCGCCTCACCCCTTCACGCCTCGGCATCTCTCTCAGCCTTCTCGACCCGCAGCTCGCTTGCAAGAGTGGCCGGCCGGTCAAGCTCGACTCGCTGGAGAAGAAGGACAAGAGTGAGCCCCTCGACAAGTCCTGCGGCAGGGTGGCGCGCGGCCTCGAGGCTGACAACTTGCTTGTCGCCGGGCTGGCTCACGACGCGCATGATGCTGCGCCGGCGGCGGACCGGATGGAGGGTGCACTGAAGGTGCTTGTGGTTCACGTACGACTGATGATGAGAGCGCTGGCCACGGAGAGAGCGTGGAAGCTCGATGCGCACAAGTACAAAGTCAAGCATCTCGTCGTCAAGCTCTTTGCGTGGAAGGAGCCCGCCACTCGGAACACGGACATCCGCGATGCCTTCGGCGGGGGCAGCGGCGCCGCCGCCGCCGGCGCCTCCGCCGCCTCCGCCGCCTCCGCCGCCGCCGCCGCCGCCGCCGCCGCCGCCGCCGCCGCACCGCCGTTGGGAATGCCGACAGCGGTGGTCAACCTCGTCGACGACGAGGGCGGCGGCGCGGCTGAAGCGGAGATGGATTCGCCGGCCGATCCTCCGCGCGTCGTCCATGGGACGCCATCCATCACCAGCTTCTTTCCCCCTGCTGCCCACCCGCCCAAGCGGCAGAAGACCGACGAGGATCGGGCGGCGGCACGGCTGTCTGCCGACGACAAGTTCGAGGCTGGCGTGGCGCAGCTGCTCGAGATGGGCTACGGAGAGACCGACGCGCGAGGGGCTCTGCGGCACAGCGCGGCGAACGTGCAGGCGGCGGTGGAGCGGCTCTTACATGGCGTCTCTGGGTGACTCGCTGGGCCGAGTGTCTGGGGGTCAGGGAGCCGGCGCGACGGCCCGAGGCTAGGTGCTCGGCGTGCACACCACGTCACGACGGCATTCCTGCGCGAATTCCTCACTTGCGGGACAAGGCGCCCCCGGGCCCGTGAACAGCGACGCTATTGTCTGTTGCGTGAATGGAGGTTCCCGTGTTGCATGTCTGACTGTCACTCTGTTTCGGGGCCCGGGGTTGTGCGTTTATGTGAATGGAGGTTTGTACGTACATGTGCGTCTCTTCTTCTCCTAGATGTAGATGTGATGTGCGGTCGTGTCTGATTTGTTTTTGTTTGCGGCTGTCGGGTTTCTTTTCGTACGTCTCCGGTTTCGTGTTCCGCACGACAAGAGCGCGCCCATCCCGTGCCCAGCGTTGGTCCAGCAAATTCTTTTCTCAGCCGGACGTTTCCGCGCCCCTTCGCAGACACCTCCCAGAACCAAGCATCCTTTGTCATCGCCATGTCGCTCGCGCTCGCCTCCTCCTCGCTCGCCCTCAACGTCGCGCCCCGCAGCGGCCCCGTCAAGGCGGTCGCGGCCGAGCCCGTCGCCTCCAAGGCCGACTTCGCCTACGGCCTGCCGGTGCGCCGCCGCCACGCTCCGCGCTCGCGACTCCCAGCCCGCGCTCACTCGCCGCCGGCGCCAGCCCCCCTCCTCCATCCCCTCACCCCCTCTGACGTCGCCGCCCCTCTTCCTCCCCGCTCGCAGGGCAACATCGCCCCGGCCGGCAACTTTGACCCCGCCAACCTCCTCGAGGGCACCTCCAAGAGCGAGGTCTACCGGTGGCGCGAGGCGGAGCTCACGCACGGCCGCGTGGGCATGCTCGCCGCGGCGGGCTTCCTGGTGCAGGAGGGCTTCCACCCGCTCTTCTCGGCGGACGGTGGCCCGGCCATCGAGCAGATCCCCGCGCTGCCGCCGGCCATCTGGTTCCTCATGACGCTCGGCATCGGCATCTGCGAGACGCTGCGCATCCAAAAGGGGTGGGAGAACCCGTACTCGGGCGACGGGCAGGAGAACATCCAGAAGCTCAAGGCCGACTACTACCCGGGCGACCTCGGCTTCGACCCGCTCGGCCTCAAGCCCACCGACCCCGCCGAGCTCCGCGAGATGCAGGAGAAGGAGCTGTCGCACGGTGCCGCCCCGGCCCCTCCCCTCCTCCCCGCCCTCCCTCCGCGCCCACGCCCCGCGGCGAGGCGGCCGCCGCCCGGGCCGCCGCAGGGCTCACCCCGCCCCGCACCCCCGCCGCAGGCCGCCTCGGCATGCTTGCCGCCGCCGGCTTCATGGCGCAGGAGGCGGTGTCGGGCAAGACGTGGTCGCAGCAGGACGTCAACTTCGAGGGCCTCCTCCTCGGCGGCTACTTCTCGCAGGAGGCGGCCGAGGTGGCGCGCGACGCCGCCGCCTCCGCCCTGTAGACGCGCCCCCCCCTCCCCTCTCCCTCGGCCGCCCCCTCTCCTCCTGAGCCGCGGCGGCCAAGGGGGGCGGCGGCGGCGGCGCGGGCATGTTGCGCCGAGGAGCGAGGGGGCGAGTCCCCTCGCCGCGGCGCCTCTTCCCGTCGCCCGCCGCGCCCCCTCTATCTTCTCTCCCTGACTGCGCCCCGCCGCCGCCGAGACAGCGCGCGCGCGGGGCCAGAGGGCATGTTCGGGTGTGGAAGTCGTTCTGTCTCTTGACTCCGTGGCTTTTATGGGTATATTATCGTGCGTGAGCTGTCGCCCTGTGGTGTCGTCTGTGTGGAGTGGGTAGTCGCTCTATTCTTACATACGTTGCTGTGAGAACGAGAGGTGGATGACTGATTACGGTGGCCAATATATCCACAATCGGGGGCCGCGAACTGCACAGGCCAAATGTGGCCATGAGTGTGAGCGGCTGTGGTCCGCGCGAGCACTAAGAGAGAGGACCGGTGGATCTCTCGCTATCGCGCGCACTGAGCGACCACTGAACGCTGTGATCGCGGTTCGCGCGTGTGTCGCGCCCCGCCTCCTCACAGCCACACGTCACAGCGCACCAAGTAGCTCACTCTCTACACACGTGTCTCGATCCTCTCTCGCTCGGCTCGAGCGCGCCGCCCAATATCTCGCCGTCCCGGCGTCGCTCGGTCGACGCTCGCTGGCGTGGCCGGGCGGCCCGGCTGCTCGAGCTGCAGCAGTAGGCGAGTAATATACACGCGCTACGGCTCTATCTGGGTCGGGGCCACCTCCTCACACCATCGCCGCGGCCCGATCCTTGATCGCTTTGAGTTGCTTTTGCGTTGGCTTCGGGACCGTCGGGCGGCCCACCGACCCATTGCCGTTGATGTCCAAGCCCGTCGCGCTCTCGATCTTGTTCATCACGCTGGACAAGAAGCCGCCCTCCCCCACAGTCTCCTTTGGTTTGTTCGTGTCTGATTCGTAGCTGAAGGCGCGGGACGCAACGCCATGCTTGGGCCTGGACCAGCGGAGCCAGATGATGCCGATGAGAAAGCACCACATCGCACCGCCAAGATGCTCATCGCCGACTGTTGGATTGTGAGAGAGCCAGGCCATGGCGCCTGCAAAGTTCCAGAGCCCGAGCGCAAAGAATGCGGCCGCAAAAGCAACGCTACACTTTGAGACGCCCGCAAAGTAAGCCCCGACGCTCGGCATGATCTCAGGGGCCCCGCTAAGAGGGCCACCGATCATCACGAAGGCGACCTATTCACGCGGCGGAACGATGTGATTGTAAAGCGACGGTCTTGACGGTGCAAGTCCTCCTGATGTTCACAAAGAAGAGCAGGAGACACTCGACCCGGAGTTGCATGAACATCGCATTCACGTGCGCCAGGAGGAACTCAAACATCGCCGTTGCGGGGAGCGCCTGACTCATGTAGAGCTCTAGCGAGACGTGTCCGCACGAGTTGTTCTTGCCCACCTCGTAGGGCTCAGTGGTGCCTGGCGAGCTGTCAACCTGCTTGCCAATCGCCGAGACGTTCTCGGCGGTGTATGCCTGCATCATCACCTGACGGTCCCCCAGCTTGGCGGGCCGGCTCGAGGAGAAGACGCCGTCCACAGGCTTGTAGAAGTGGACCGCGCCCTCCTCCGCCTGCTCCATCTTGCCCATCTGGCCGACCAACCTGCCCAGTGGGTCAATGCTCTGCGCGCCCTGCTTGCTCTGCGTCCACCACCCGGCGGGCGGCGGGATGTCGATGGGCGCAGTTCGCAGGCCCATGTTCGTCATCTGCAGCAGCTTCTCCTTGCTCAGCTCAAACTGGGCTGGTTCGCCTGCCAACCCGAGACCGACTCGCTCCGCGTAGCTGTGAGAGATTCCGAGCCCAGAGGTATCGAGGGACAGTTCCTCGCTGGATGGGACCGCGTCTCGGCAATCAGGTCCGGGGTCGTGCTCGTTGTCGCCGCAGATGTGGTGGAGGTGGTTCTGGTCGATCCGTGGCACCTACACACCTCGGCTCACTCGCGTGAACTGTCTGTACATGGAAACTCTCCCGCTATCCTGTGCCGGCTGCCATGCTCGTCCAAGTCGTATTGTAGCAGAAGCAAGTTGCGCCGCCAACCTCATGGTAGCTCCTCTCGGTCCAGAGCATCATCTGCACCGTCGATGTGACCTGAGGCAAGGCACACCAGAGCAGCTCCCGATGGCAGGGCTCGCGTGAGTGGGGTGAATTAGCGCGGCGCGTACCGTCAGCGCGCCACGGACGGTTGCCCCCGTGACGCTCTCGGTTACAGCTGCGGTGTCAAGCTGCACTGGGCAAGTGAAGTGCACGAGCGCGCCCAGGTTCTCACCGTCAAGCTCGCACCCTGACTCGACGATGAGGGCCTTCCCCTCATCAAAGGCGGCGGAGTTGCACACAAATGTACCTAAGACAACCGCGGCGTGTGGCGAGCGTGTGCTTGTCGTCGTGTGCCGGCTGAAAACGCTGCCCGTGCGTCTTTCATCTATTCGTTGCTGCCCTCTCCAGCGAGCGCCAGGTAGAAGATGGCCGGCAGCAAGAGGATGCCGATCCATGGGAGCAGCTTCTGGAAGCTCATTGTGTGCGGCGAGACGCTGGAAGAGCGCGGCTCAGATTCCTTCCGCTGCCACGTGTATATTATTTTTGCTTGGCCGGCCCTCATGCTGAAATTCTGCAAAAACCTGACCGGCCCCTGCCCTGCCCCTACCTACCTACCTACCTACCTACCTTACTTATGGGAAACTAAAAAAGAAATCACCGGATGGGTGAAGGTGGGGTACTATACCAACTAAAGTGATGGCTGGTGGTACTATCCTGCAACCACAGTCCTTCCTGTGACATGGCAGGCCACTCTTAAGCCCTACAAGCACCAGATCAACGACTTGGGGAGGGTTGACATCGTGATTTGGCCGGAAAAATTCTTTTTCTGCTGTGAAAATTCCGGCGTGAAGAGAGGGAAAAACCCGACGGGAGGGCCCAGACCCTACCCTA